TAATTTGAAAAATGAGTTTAAATTTCTGTTGTAAAGTCTGAAGATCTCTTAGGATTTTTAGGATATTTTTGAGGTGTTTGTTTATTAACAAATAGGTTAGTAGTTTGTTACTATCTTGTATATTTGTTTCATAGAAATTAGGAATTTGTTTTCATTCTTGTGTATAAATATACCTCACACGAGGAACAGAAATATGAGAGAAATGTACCAAACTACCAGTATTAAAGTTTTGACAGTATGGTTATGATCTTTTCACATGATCATATCATGTTTTTGTTTTTCACTATGAGATGATCTATTTCCCATAAAGAATGATGCAATTAATTTATATCGTAACTCCTTATCATATGTCTTAATTTGATCTTGATTATTCTTTGCTAAGAAAATGAATAGATTGAATGCATAGTTTGGGAGTCCCACCCGAAGCCATACGAAGCAAATTGGGATCCTGAAGCCTTCTCAAGGATGTATAATCTTAAATTACTTATCATTAATTTTCATAATATAAAACTTTCTCTTGGCTGCAAGAGTCTTGCGGTTCATAGAAATTTCTACGATGGACAGAGTATCCTTTGGAAGCTCTGCCCCCTGATGCGCAGCTAGATGAAGTTGTAGACTTGCAAATGCGTTACAGCAAAATAAAAAAAGATTTGGAATGAAATTAAGATCTTGTGCATTTAATTTAATACTAGCACAAAGTCTTCTAAAGCAAGTTAATTTTATTATTTACCTTATGTTCTGATAATTGGTCAGCATTTTGCAAAGCTGAAGTTCATTGATTTGAGCCATTCCAAAGAACTAAGTCAAACTCCTATCTTGAAAGCTTGTTTCTTGAAGGTTGTATAAACCTTGTTAAGGTTCACCAATCTGTTGTACAGCACAAGAAGCTTGTTCTATTGAACTTGAAAGACAGCATAAATCTTCGAACCCTTCCAAGAAAACTTGAAATGGATTCTTTGGATGAGTTTATTCTTTCTGGCTGCTCAAAAGTTAAAAAGCTCCCGGAGTTTGGAAAGAATATGAAATGCTTAACACTGCTTAGTTTGGAGAATTGCAAAAATCTTCTTTGCCTACCAAATTCTATTCGCAATTTGAAATCTCTTAGAAAACTCTATATTTCTGGGTTGCTCAAAATTTTCTGAGCTGCCTGACAGTGTGAATGAAAATGAGTGTTTGGAGGAGTTTGATATGAGAGGTACTGCTATTAGAGAAATAACTTTATCCAAAATTTGTTTAGAAAATCTTAAAGAACTCTCCTATGGTGAAGGAAAGAACTTCCATCCAACTCTCATAACTTACTTCTATGGATGTCGACATTTAGGAGGCAACAAGATCCAAAGGAGTTGATCTTGCCTCCTATCTCCAGCTTATTCTCCTTGACTTGATTGGATTTGAGTTACTGTAACCTTACCAATGAATCAGTTCCTGTTGATCTTGGTTCTTTATCGTTGTTGTAGGACTTAGATCTAAGAGGGAACAATTTTGCTAACCTACCATATGTTAGATAAATATAAAACTATTAAGGTAACCTCATTCGATAACTTACTCTTTTGGGTTGAATTGATTCTTTATACAATATTAAAGCCTCTATGATCAAGTGGTCATGAGTTCAATTTTACTTTCTTAGCACAGGTAGGTTGGTCTGATGCATCATCCACCCTTCAAGTCCAATAGGCTCTCGCGTGAGGGGCGTGTTAAATAAATATAAAATTATTAACTTAGTCTCACCCAATAACTTAAACTTTTGAGTTAAATTGATTTTTTAGCTACCGGAGCTTAGTGTCTTAGTAATCTTTCTATGTTGGGCTTGACTGGTTGTATTACTTGTATATCATCATGTATTTGTGATTAAAAAAAAAAACTACATAAGAAAATCCAAGCTGACTTTTTTTTTAGGTTCAAAAATCGCTATTTGACTGAAAAACAGTTGAGGTTAAGAAATGAATCCAATTGATCCAAACACAATTTTGACGTTGATCTGTTGATATTCATAATGGACTTCACCTCCAAAACCCAAACTGAATGAAACCCAAAACATCACTGTTTTACCAAAAATAAAATAAAATGAAATTATCCGTGAAACAAGCATATCCAATTATCCAATTACATATGGCCACAATGTCGCTCACTCTGACAGTGACGGAATCTGAAACCACAAGATGAGATCTAAGATCTGATTGTTGGTGTGGAAAGGATAATGCAAGCCTTTGATATCAGTGTATAATGCGCAATATGATCTTGGTCAACAATACACACTCTCATTGAGTCACTTGTAGCAACTGTGACATAAGACAATGCCCATAAATGAATGTTTGGAATTGCTGGGAGAAACATCATAGCATGTGACTTAGTGGTAAATGACAATTTGGGTTGCATTGATCTGACTAGTGCAACAGAGCTCGTGCTTGAAGCTTCAAGATAGCCCGACACACCAGGTGCTGCACCACCTACTCTATTTGTGTGCTTTCTATGGAACGTGAATGTGGCTTATCCTCTTGTTTTTACCCTTTTATAACCTTTACTTTCTAATTGAATCATAATATTGCCGAACAAGGATGTGGGTGATAAAAGTCCTCTTGATTTAATTTTTCCTAAATAAAACCCCAACACAATAAAAAATAAAATAAAAAAAGGAATCAATAGGACATGATAAGATCCTCATTGTTTAATTGGCAGAGTTGCATCACTTGCATGTTCTTCAATGATCATAGGATTTGAGAACTAGAAAAGACTATGTCAATGGGATTACTCATTGTGTTGAACACTTGTACATTTATGTAAGTAATCATCCAATGAAGACTGCTTCCACAAACTATGATGTGAAGATCCACCTCATATGCAACGAAGTTCACACACTACATACGGAATTGTATTAAAAAGTTACCAATTTTTAAACACAAACTAGCATAGTTGCATTATTGCATACATACATAGATGATACATAATGTCATAGGGTAACTGTAGGAACCTTTTGTCACATGGGTTCAACTTACCGGGCCCAGTCGGGGATATAAAAGGGAAAATGTATTATATAAAGAAGGTGCACTTTTAGGTTGTCAAATTGCCATTTTGATGCGGAGAATGTCATGTTTATTTTATGGCCAACTTTTGGACGTTTTTGTCTTTGAAAATTGTTGCCATTAGCTACTGTAGAAGGCCGTTGATGCCATTTCCCGTTCAGCGCTTCCCCCACCTAATTAAAAATTAAAAACAAACAGTGTTTATTTTTTTTTAAAGAGAATAAGAAATGGTAGAACTATTAAGTCATCAATTGCATCTGGTAGATTGAATTGTGTGGGATATTCTGTGTTCGTTGTATAAATGACAAAAAGAAATTGATCCAATCGAGATCCATATTAACTTTGAGCAGCATTTGTTGAAAATAAACTCTGCAATCACTAAAATTGCAAGCAGGAACTCTTGTTCGCTATTACCTTATCTGCTGAGAATTGGCTTTTACTTTTCTGCGGCCGTAGGCTGTTTGAGAGCTTCCCGTTCCCATTGACACTTTTTCCCTTCTTGTTTTGACTGCAACCAGATTATTCAATTCACGAAGGCTTGAACTAAAGTTTTAATTAAAATTTATTATTATTATTTATAACTGTTTTTATATTAATAAATATAAAAAGTATGTGAAAAAGGATTTGGTAGTTATGTGAAGAGAAGAGATATCAAAAGATATGCGAGTTTTTTTAACATGAAACTTAAAATGTTTATTTGTTACATAATTTTTTACGGAAATATCTTTCTTATGTTGAAATACACAAAAATGGATAGATCCATTTTTTTATTTTTCTCTTTTTTTTAGTGGATTTTATTCATTTTTCTGTGTATTGCATGACAGAAATTATCTGATGTAACATAAAAAATATATTTCCCAAATATTTCCCAATTTTTTTGTTAAAGTTATAAATAGTTGTATTAGAAATTGCTTCATTCGCTTTCTCAAAACTACTGTCCAGCACCTCCAGCTTGAGGTGAAATCTTGGCCTGGGGCAAAGTTTAGATAGGCCGAGTCTAACGTTGGAATGAAAGTAGGTGATTTTTTTTTCTTTAATTTCATGTATTTATGCTTATTTGTGAAAAATGGGATGTGGCATTACAGCTTGCGTCTTTTGAGTTTCCGCCTATTCAGAATCATAAACAGGCCCATATAAAAGGATTGAATGGGATACAATCTTATTCAAAGAACTCAAAGTCACGATGATTTGTAGAAAAGCACCAAGCTCTTTATATTCTTTATTTGACTGTGCTCCATTCGGCGTATAAATCATCTTTGATTTTTAAATTTCAACTATAGTGCATGTGATCACCACTTTGTTTTCATAAGATAAAAAAGCAGTACTCACTGATTTTTTGGATGGGTTACACCGCAACGTGTATGCAGGCCTAAAGGGCGCGAAACTAAGCACACTTGGATGACCTACCCGCCCATATAAAGCTAAATTTACTAAGTCAACTGCAAATCATAGTGGATACCCTGCTTCGTAATGATCAATAGTTGCAAAATATTTAAGTTCACGAGGAATTACAGTATACTCATTTTATTCGCCCAAAAAGACCGAAGGTGGTTGAGTTACATTCGTTAACGAAGAGATTAAACACAAGAAGGAATCAGTTCTTAACAGAAGTTACTTATATTATTCTTAGACATATTATGATTTTATTCTGATTAAATTTTCATCTATAAGAGTAGTGAGTTAATTTCCGAGGTGAAAAGATATAAAAGATTGTAATGCAGTGGAAGAAAAAGATATATTTCCCTTCAACTCTTTGCTTCAAATATACATAACGAAACCTAAAGAACAATGACCACTACTGACTGAGGTCACAAAATAAAAGACTAATGCAAAGTAAAAACTTAGATGCAATTTAGTCACCACCAACTGATTATTTAACTAATACAATCCAGAGAACCCCAAAAAATCTTCAAACTGATCATCAACAAAATAACTTAGCTGCTCTATTTCTAGCCCCTTGCCCTTCCAGACACTCCACCACCTTCTCATACTTTACACGAAAGCAAAATCAGCCAGATGCTATGTCAGTCCTCTTATGCCTTCAGTATCCAGTAGGAAATTCGCAGCTACCATACTCTGCACAAAAATGAAACTCTCTTAGATCATAAAATGATCCAATCATAAATGCAAAATTTGAATAAAAACAAGATAAAGTAGTACAGTTTTTGTTAGAAAAAGGCACCCATAAATTAAGATGGGATTTTTCAAAGGCAAAAGAAGAATCCAATGTGATCACACAACTCCATCTTTGACTAATTGACTGTCTTAATGACTGTTACCAATTTACTTGTAACGTTCGAATTAACCTTGTCCCTTCGGGTTCTCCAAAGTAGTTAAAGACATATAATTCCTGCTCCCAAGGCAACACTGTAGTGTACCCTAGTTGTAATGGGCCTATTGGCCTCCCATAGTACACTCTACCCAATAAAGGTACCACGTTGTTGTCAGAAAAGATTCCCTCTTGTCAACCTTATCGAGCACCATTAATCACCCGCTCACATTAGAAATCCAGTGCAACATTATTCTAAACTACGCCCATTTAAGTATCTAAGAAAATAAACCGAGACAAAAAGGGTTCTATTAGAATACTCACTGGGCTCCTGCGTGACCACATACGACGTACCCCCGAAATAGCAACTACCACCCGCGCGTGCTTTCTTCTGGTAATAACTGTTGAACGCGAACGAAGCATGGGCCACAAGCGTGTTAGGATCGTAACACGTGGCACCACGCTGGATCGGACGGCAATCAGCACCTCCCTCCCCACAAGCAAAATCTAGAGCCGCCTGCAGCTTAACTTTTTCCACATCCGGGTTCGCAACGCACCACGTGTTCCCAGTGGTGCTCTTCGAAACACCGCCACCGCCGACAACGACGGGGGCGGGGGCCTTCGGCGGCTGCTTCTGGCCGCCGCTAACCGGTGAAGGACGGTCGTGGTAATCCTTAAGCTTCTCCGCCGTTAACGGAATGTCGTAAACCTTCCTCTCGTCTGGGTAAAACAGACCGAAGTTCCTCTCCGAGGTGGGCCCCCCTTTCTGGTTCTCGTTGAAAAGCGCGAATAAATAGACGGTGAGATCTGCTTTGGGTCTCATGGGGGTCCCACCACCCGTCAAGATCTTGCGGACGAGATTGCCGTTGTACGCAGCTGCGTTCTGTAGGCTCGCACCCACCTCATTATTATCCCCCTTGGAAGGCCAACCTGTTTCCGTCACAACGATCTTAACGTCGTCGTATTTCAAAGCAGATAGTGCGGCAAAAACGGCGTCGATTTGGGCGTCGAACAGGTTGAAATATCTTAAACCGTTACCCGGATCCACCACTCCCGGGTTGTCCCGGAACAATGCGTAGTCCAAGGAGATGACGTCAGCGTTGGACTCGTACGCGAAAAAAGGGTACACGTTCACCATGAGGTACGACCCAGTTTGACGGAGAAAATCCAACATGGGTTTGAAAACGGGTTGAACGAGTTCGGGTCGGAACGACCCGGATGAAGAAGGGTATGAGTTTCCGAGTGCGGAGAGAGCAATAGGGGAAGAAACTTTAATGTCGGAGTGAAGGTTGTGTTTGACGAGAGCTTGGTAGATGTTTTTCATGGCGGGTACGAGGAACTTGGTAGTGTGGGCGGGATCGACGAAGACCTCGTTGCCGACGGCAATGGCTTCGATTTGGGTGTGGGGGTGGTAGGCGGCGACGTTCCTCTCGACCCATGAGAGTGCAAAGGAAGGTGCTTTGGCTGCTGCGAAGAGTTGCTGGTTAGGTAGATCCACGGTTACTTTGATTCCGGATCCGGATAAAGCCCGAAGCACTGACGGGTCGGTGTCGTAGACCTTGACGCGGTCTAGCCCCTGAGATTTTAGGAGCTGAACAACCTTCACCGCCGAGGGAAGGTTGTTAGCTATGCGACCGTAGTTCACTCCAATGGAGCCACCATCTGAAACAAACCAAGTAGAACAGAACAGAACAGAACTGTGTTAGCAAGCATTATGCAAAAATAACAGTTAACAAAAAAAAAAAAAAGCAAGTGATAGAGGTGAGCATTGCCTGAGAGAGTGAGAAGGGTGAGGGAGAAGAAGATGACGGAGACGGTGAAGCGCTGCATGCTCTGCTTCGTTGGGAAGAAACAGAGCGTGTGTGGTTATTAGTTTTGTTTGTTTTCGGTGTTTTCGATGATGTTTCTGAAAATGTGGGTGGAGAGGAGTGAGTTGTATGTATCTGTTGAGCAAGTGAGTGAGGAAAATGTGGTGGATTGGTCTCAGTAATGTATGAAGGAGGCATTGAGGGAACCGAGGTGGTGGTAAGGTGAGGGTAGTGGGACCCACTTTGTGGCAGTCACAGTAACAAAAGGACGAGTAATTATAGGACCACCATCCCTATTTCCCCCAAGTTGCTCCTCTTAGCATTCGGAGATGAACTACTGAAGCATGAATCCGTGTTTTGTTCCCTTGGTCCCACCCAAATAACACCGTTGGTTATTGGCTTTGAAGCCTTTTTATTGTTAAAATAAAATTTTAAATAAAATAATTATACACATTTCAATAGTTTTTGAAAAAAAATATGTGTATCTTACGTCCTTTTATTCTTACAAAAAGATGAAACACATATTTTTAAAAAAAATTTCTTCTACTTTCTCTTCCATGATTTATCTTTTTCTCTTACTTAAAATGACATAATTTTATATTTTTTTTAAATGATAAATATTTTTCACATAATTTTTTTGCATGGCTTATATGTTTTTTTCTTTTGTCTAGATTTTCCATATAACCCTTTCTTTAAATAAAGAAACGGCCAAAATTGAGTTGCCAGCTAAAAAAAAAAAATTAAAAATTAAAAAGAGCCAAAAATAAAATAAAAATAGAGCATTATAATTTTCGATCATTGCTGAAATAAAGTGTAGATGCTCGTGGAGTAATGTTTTGGAGCTGCTATCATCAAAGAATAATAAAAACAGCAGTCATGTTACTTTCATTGCACCCAAAATAAATGTGTACGTTCTCCCCCCTTGCATAATTGAAGCCTCTGTGAAGTGTGAAGGAGTAGGAGGCTCGAATAAATGAGCACGTTGTCGTTGGGGACATGATCAAACTTCCTTACCACTTATTTTCCTCAAAAGTATGAAGGTACCCCAATGCAAATAATTTATATCAATCCAAAAAATACTAACAAAGCTTAAATATTCAACCTAACATAAATAAGTTTTACGAGCACTTTTCTTTAACAAACACTATTTTTTAATTTTGGTACATTCGTTACCCATTCCACAACGGCGAACACCTATAAACTTCACTAACTTAAAAATTACAATCAAAATAAACCCCAATCTAGACCATTTATATTAATCAAAAAATAATAGCAATGCTTAAATATTCAACCTGACATAAATAGGGTCAATGAACTTTTGATGCAAATATTATTTTATTTTTTAAAAAACTAAGAGAACATAATATCAATTTAAGGCAATAAGTCTCATATTCTATCTACACCAATCTCATTAGGACTCCTATATAGGGCTGGCAAAAAAGGGATCGGTGTGTCCACCAAATAGGCTAGGATGAGTTGAGCTTTACAATTCACTCTCAAAAGTAGAATAGAGCAGGTTGATTCATTTTTTGACAGGTTGACGGTGATAGAGGTGATAAAAAAACTAGAGGTTTTTGACCCGACTCGTGAAGGTTCGAGTTTATATATCTAAAATTGGTTATTGGAATTATGCTTGAACTTGTATAAAAGCTCGTTCAATAAAGAGGCTTCAGACTCCAATTCAAAAGCCCGACTTTAGAATCTATTAGGCTGGCCTAGTATATATTAACTTTTATTTTTATTTTATATTTTTCATACTGCTCATACCAACCCCCTCTCTCTCCAACCCATTTCACCCTATTTTATTGGTTAAATAAATTTGTTGAATGATTTTGTTCTATGTTATGTTGTTTGAATATAAAAAAATTTATGAATCTTTGTGCAATTATTACCTAGAAAGCACAGACACGCAATTCGAATACGTGTCCGACACGGACACGCTCAGACACGCGTCCGACACGCGGTCAACTCTCCGACACGTTTTTCCGACACGCATTCAACTTTTTTCGACACGCGGTCAACGCTCGGACACGTTTTGGAACACGCTCGGACACGTTTTTTTTTAAATCTTAATTTTATTTTGTTAACTAAATATAAAAGAAATCATTTATAAATTAATTTTTTTCTATTATGAAATTTGACATGAAAAATTATTTCTATTTATATTTATGTTATGAAATCTAAATATTTGATTGGTTATATGACTTATTATAGACTCTTATACGTATTAAATATAAATTATATTATATATATTAAAAAATTTATTTAATATCAAAACGTGTCCCAACGTGTCAAAATATAACATTTTTTAGAATTAACGTGTCGGCGTGTCGTGTCGTGTCGTATCCCGTGTCCGAACATCGTAGATTATTACTGTTGTTGATCGTATATATTCTATTTGAATAATTTTTTGTTGTCTTATTTTTATTACTAGACTTTTATTTTTTTGTAAATAAGTCAGGTCACGAATCGATAATTATATTCATAACGGGTAACAGGTTAGGCTAGACTGACACATTTAAACACATGCTTAGTCTTTTAAAATCAAAGTCCGGCCCGTTAACACACCTAGATGGCGTGGTGCGGCGGGTTAGTATAAAACATATTTGGGTTGGCAGGTTGAGATTTTTTGTGAGTTGATAGCGAGACGAACTGACTCATTTTTTGATAGATTGATGGCGGAACGGAATGGGTCGCCCACTTTGTCATCTCTCTCATGTATTATTAAAAATATTAAGCATTTACTTTAAAAGAATTAATCACAATTTGAACCGTAACTAATTTTATAAAATTAGTTTCGCACCTTTTTCATAATATTTTTTTTTCAAATATGCATATATATAGTGATATGTGCTAGTCCTGCATAAGAAACGTGCTATATTAATCTTGCGTGAATAAGATGTGGAATCACTTTATTAAGCTAATATTATATTGAAAATAATTTATCTTTGAGAAATTTAAAAACAAAAATATTTTTTCAAATATTTTTGCAAAATAAATAAGTTTTTAAAGCATTTATTTTCTTTTCTTTAACAAACACTATTTTTTGTTTTCGGATACATTCGATAAACATTCTACGACAAAGGACACTAGAAATTTCAATAATTTAAAGATACAATTTTAAAAACTCCCTTACAAGTTTTCTCAAAATCATTTTTCCCTTTATTTAATTTTTTATCACTTACTTCCTTAATTTGATTTTTCATCCAAAATTTTGTTAAGAGAGTTAATTTTTTTTTAAAATTATCCTTAATAAATAGAAAAATATAATTTCCACACAAAGACAAACTCACGGAAGCAAGACATGAATGTAAATCAACGATTAAATTCTCCCTCTACTCTTAGCGACACAGAAAGACAATGAAATAGCACCTTCTGCATGTTTGCTTGGTAATACAACTAAGCATGGCTTGAGTTGATATATACTTGGACAAAAGGTCCTCCAAGCATTCATTCCATTAGGAATAGTGGAAGGTGAGGGACAAGATTGTATTACCAAGCAAACATATTTTGTTGTCTTTCTACAGCAATGAGAGTAGATGGAGGTTTCTATAGTTGATTTACATCCACGTATTACTCTTGTGAATTTGTTTAAAATTGCGTTTATGAGAAAATTGTATTTTTTTTATTAAGGCTAATTTTGGTATTTTTAAAAAAAATTAACTCTGTTAATAAAATTTTAGATGAAAAATCAAATTATGAGGTAAGTGATAAAGAAATTTTAAGTAAAGGAATAAATGATTAAAAATTTCAAGAAGAGGGTAAATAATTTTGAGAAAACTTGTAAGATTTTTTTTGAAGTTTTCTCTAACTTTAAAATTACAATCAAAATTAAAATTTTGATTTGCACTCTGTCGGCAACGCACTTATTAAATTAGTTGTTCGAGCTTGCAACAGATTATGTTCAATTATAGATGTTTGATATTCAGGTTACTTAAAACCCAAAGACTCAAGTCCAAAGGCAATAGGCACGGTCCACGGTTAAAGCTGGGAAATAGAAAGAGGTTGAGCTCAATGAGTTTCTTCCAAAACTGCCATAGACATATAGTATTGTTTGATTATGTGATAGAAAACATGTCTTGAGACATCAATTACTATGTTTTTAGAAATAATTTTTTCATCAAAAAAGTAAAAGTTATTTTTAACTTCAATTTTGGATTCACATAGTATTACTTTCTCGAGTAAGGTTATACTTACAATTTATTTTTTTGTTTACAACTAAAATTTAGCCGTTGATTTTCGTCAATCAACGGTTATTATTTTCACAAATCAAATTCATTAATTAATTATTAATTCACAATAAATGAAAGTTTATCTAATTAATTAATTATTTTTGCCAATCAACAATTAAGATATGATTGTAAGAAGTTATAAATGAAGATAAGTTGTATATATAGTCTTCCTCTATTTTCTCTCATGATAATTTTCATAAGATAAAAAATATAAAAGCAACATTAATAGATCTTATACCAATAAAAATAGATCGTATTATAAAACACTTGTACAAGTGATGGATGCTACAATGACCCAACATTAGGTGTGGATAATAAATATGACCAATTCGTTAGATACCTTTGGGAATTTGCAGATGTTTCAGAAAAGATCAACAAATTTAAGTTTATATTTTACTTCAGTCAAGGGAAAATAATTTTATTGCAAATCCTTATTTGGAACAACCACAATTTTGTTGTTTGAACCAAACATGTGGGTCTAATGTGACAGGGATGTGCTATCCAATGGGCTAATATCTACAGCCCGGTATACCAATTCTTGGCCCATAAGTGCTGCGTAATCAAAATAAAAAAGCGATTCCCAGAAAAGAAATAATCAAAATCAATATAAAACCCTAATTTTCAGAGGGAGTCACAGAGACGAAGAACGATGTCTGGGGCTACTCCTAACACGCACGCCGAGGAAGACAAGAAACCTAATGATCAAGCTGCGCACATCAATTTGAAGGTCAAAGGACAGGTTCGTTTGTTTGTTTTGGGCAATTTTTTCGGTTGATTTTTTTTTTTTTTTAAATATTCATTTTGGGTAGGTTCTTCTATACTTTTGTGAATTTTCGGTTCAGGGGTGTTCATTCATTATTAGAAATTTTCCGTTTTCAAGTGCGCTAAAGATCGTTCACCCATTCCGCGTTCTGATTTTATTTTCAGTTTCTTTTTCTGTTTTCATTATTTTTTAATTTAGTTTTTATTAATCTGCGACTGGAGATGAAGGGTCTGTTTGATCGTATTCTATTATTTTTCCTTAAAATTATTTTGTAAAATAATTATAAAAACATGTGTTTGCTGAGTTTTTTTTTTTAAGTTAAAAGTAAAAACGAAAAAACAAACACAACGTCACTCTATTGCCTTATCTTTAGGTCCCGTGTGCTAGGTGGGATTCTTCTGAATTTCAGGAAACTGAATTTTTTTAAATTTTTAATTTTCAGATATTATAAAAATCATATTTTTTAAAATTGAGAATTTTGGAATAAAAAAAAAAAAATTTGCGGGAGTGGATCTTGGTATGTTATTTGATCACACTCGTTGATGATGAAATAACTAAGAGAAAAGTGTATAATTTTTAAATAAGCAATTGTGATCAAATAACGTAAGTATTTGGATCCGCTCTCACCAAACGCCCCCTTAACACTTATACTTTGTTATTGTACTAATGACCCGTTGACGCTCTTGTTACTGTTTCGGAATACAAGTAACACATGTATACTAAATTCCCGTTCTAATTTAACTCCGGTATCAATATAAAATTCTTATGTTTTGATGTAGCAGCATCATATTCAAGTAAGAGAGTATCAGATGCGAGTTAGGCAACTGATTTTTTTATTGAGTTATTTCATTTTTTTTTTCTAAAATATTGGAACACCTTGGGATATTTGTTTCTAAATTTATTATAAATAAGCTATGCGTAGCAGTGCATACATGATACATGTCGTGTCGGAAGCTGAGCGATACCAATCGGTTGATGGGAGGTTTTGTACCAGACTGTAAACCGCTGTACCCTACAATTCAATATTGTACAATTCAAAAATTAAAGTAAGATTTGTGATTTTCAATTCCAAATTTTTTTGAGAAGTCAATATTAATTTGGGAAAGGAAACAAAAATAGGATTTGTGATTCAAATTTAAAAATGAATATGGAAAGTCACTATTGATTAGGGAAACAATACAAAAATATTTAAATTAATACAAATCTCTTTGTTCTTAAAAAATGACACCAATCCAAATCATGAAAAACAGAGACTTAAGCAGAAGAAGAGGAAAGACTCTTAGGGGGTGTTTGGTTCAGGAATTTTTTTTGGAATAGTAGGGAAATGAGACAGATAGAGAAATGATTGAAAGATAGATAAAGTGAGATAGGTAGAAAAATGTAAAAAAAAATTGTTTGGTGGGGAAAAACTTTATTGGGAAAATTAGGTAGCTTTATGAAATCAACAGTGTATTAAAAGTCAGATAACCGGTTTTCCGAAAAATCCCACCTTCAAATTGGGTTTCTAAACAGTGCGGATATCTATGTTTCTCATAAATCCAGACAAATTGGATAGATGGGTTTTTGGTGAAAAACGTTGAAACAAACATGGTATTTCTAAAAGCCATACTTGAGAAAGATAGATATCCGCTGAAAAGCTCCAACCAAACACCACCTAAGAGAAGTATTCAAAGAGCTACCGCAAAAATACAGGGAGAGAAGTTGAAGGCTTAGAATACGATTAATATATTATGTATTTTTCAATTATTTTTTATCATCTTTCTGAATTTTATGATTCCATACGATTTAAGATATAAAAAATCAGCCAAAAGAGAATTGTGATTCAACAACCTTATGGCAACGTAGGTTTAAATCCACACGATTGTGTGGAACCTAATACTGATATCACTTAATATTACTTATTTATTGGAGTGTTGGATAGTTTTCTTGGTAGATGTGGGGTTTTTCAGGGTATCTCTTACTGGCCCAAGGCTTTTTACCTTGACAAGAGAAAGTGCTGTTTTTTTATATTTGCTCAATTGTAGGGCAGTTATACCTCTAAAATGCTTGTTTGATTTCTTTTTAACGTTCTGATCTGGTTGAATGATCTATGAGATGTATATTTGAATATGACTTTTGATTCAAAGAATCATATTTGCCAGTCTTTGTCCTTTTTGATTCGTTGGACTGTTCCTGCTTCATATTAATGTTCACCGACCAACTTAATAGTGTTGGTTATTTCTTTCCCCTGACCCCCTTCTCTGTCCTCTCCCCCACCCATCAAAAAGTGTGTTTGTTTTATTCAATTTTACTGTGAAATCACTTAGTACCTTTTTGTTTTTATCTTTTTTTGGCACATCCCCTGTCATTATGTAGGCTTAAAGTCATAAGAGAACATTTTAATATTCTCAGTGTGTTAAAAGTTCCTCTAAGCACCCTTTCAAGCAAAGCATGATGTCCCCCTACCTCATAAATTCATTGCTGTGACTGTGAATTCAATCCTTTTAAGTACTATTAGTTAATGAATGGTTACTTAGTGTTTGGCGTATTACATTTCTTTGATGTGATGTTTTTATGTGTAACATGATGAGCATATGATCCATTCGAGGCTATATTTCGTTATTTATTTGATTATTTATATTTTTAAATATCATGATGAGCACGTGGTCTAAGACATTTTTATTTCATTGTAGGATGGAAATGAGGTATTCTTTAGGATCAAAAGAAACACTCAGTTGAAGAAGCTGATGAATGCATATTGTGATCGTCAATCTGTGGACTTGAATTCAATCGCTTTCTTATTTGATGGTCGCCGTCTCCGGGCAGAACAGACTCCTGATGAGGTTTGCCCCTCACCTTGACTCTTTCTTCATACTGGGAAATATATGTAACCATGCATCATAACCCTGCTTGTTTTATGTCTTTTGATTCAGCTAGAAATGGAGGATGGGGATGAGATCGATGCGATGTTGCACCAAACTGGTGGAGCCCTGTTAACTTAATCTGTTTCTACTGGTTTGGTGAAAATTTGACACATAATATAGTGTAGTTACTTTGGTTTATGTAATCTATGGATTTGAATTATGGGAATTGTGTTAGACATCTTCATTGTAGACCTTGTTTAAAAAATCTGACTTGCTCTTTGGGAGTTTTGTCAGTTACAAACTCGTATGAAATCAGGAGTCTGAGTTAATAGTTTGATCTTTTGAGTGGAGTACACTAATGTTGTCGGATGAGAGAGCTCTCTTTCTTGCTGGTATAAGAATTGCTAAGAAATAATATTGTTCATATTTAATCGTGAGGATTTTTTCCCTAGAAGCGAGTTTGTATCTCAAATGAGCAAATAAAAATGGATTTGAAATATAATATAGTTTTTGTTTAATTTAAAGCATTATATATTAGTAATTTATCATAATTTTGTGAAACATACATCTTATTGACTTATTTTAAAGATAATTTTATTTTAAAGGATTCTTGTCCTTTGGTAAAGTAATATTTTAGGTACTCATAAGTGGTATAAAATGGAAAAGGGTAAAATTTGATACATAATATAGGGTAGCTATCTTGTTTTATGTAACCTAGGTATTTGAATTATGGGTATTGTGATAGACATCTTCATTGTGGACCGACCTCGTTTGAAAAACTGACATGCTCTTCATGAGTTTTCTCAGTCGTATGAAATCAGAGTCTTTAAGTTAATAGTTTGATTCTTGAGTAGAGGTTGTCTTCGGAGAGCTCTCTTTTTCGCTCATCCAAGAATTGCTTAGAAATAAAATGTGCAAAGGAAAAAAAAAACAAAATCTATAGTTTGCGTCTAAAATGAGCAAATAGAGATCGATTCACTTCTGATTTAATTTAAAGTACATTATAATATTATTTTAACAAATTTTTACGATTGGATGTATTTTTAGACGCTTATTTTTAAGGATTTTTAGACGCTTATTAGTGCAATAACGCTACAATATTGTGTAATTTAACAAAGGGATAGTCGGGAGATTTTAAATTGGCATATCTGAACTTATTTGGAAAAGAAAAAAATTACTACTACCCTTACTCACAGTCACAGCACAATGGGAATATCAATTGATCATGAGAAGAGGGTACTATTGACGTAATAAAATTGATGATATGATAATGACGAGAATCTAAAAGTAACCCATTAACAATGTAAGAAATGATTGTCACCATAATTTAATTATTCAATAAGCATTACTCATTGATTATATATACTTACCTTACAAATACTTCGGACCTAAATTGGCAGCTATTAAAAGTGAATTTAAAAAAGAAAATTGACAAGAAAATTTGAATTGGAAGATAAAATCCGACATTAGATTTCCATCTTGGCTGGTTCTTCATTTAATCGGTGTATCTCAAATTACAATACAGACTTCGAACACAATCACTCGATCAACGCATTCAACTCATACACACTTCATCTCTGCCGTTCTTTTTGGTACATTCGATTCACAATTACTCTACAATTTCGAACACTTCAACTTCAATAACACATAAATTACAATATCTCTAATTTGCGCTGCTTTAACAACTCCTTTATTAGATTAGTTATTCTTTTAATTAGTATTATATTAAATGGACAACACTAGTATTATATTTTTTAAATCGACTTTTTTATCATTAAAGTTAATTTTACTTTTTTTTTTAATATGTGATAACAATAACATTAGGTCATGTTAGAAAAGCACTTATACAAGTGATGGATGAAAGTATGAAACAATGAACCAACATTAGGTGCGGACAATAAAAATGACCAATTCGTGAGATGTCTAATAGGAATTCTTAGTGTGGGTAAATGGGCCAGCCCACCATGTCCTATATAATGGGCCAATCTCTCCAGCCCAGTATACTAATTCTTGGCCCTTTAGAGTACAACGCAATCAAAATGCGAAAGTGACTCCTCTGACAGAAGGAAAAATCAAAATCAAAAATAAAAACCCTAATTATCAGAGAGAAATACAGAGACGAAGAACGATGTCAGGGGCTACTCCAAATACGCATGCTGAGGAAGACAAGAAACCTAATGATCAATCTGCGCACATCAATTTGAAGGTCAAAGGCCAGGTTCGTTTTTTTTTTTTTTTTTTTGGCAATTTTCGCAGATGATTTTTTTATTTATTATTTTAGGAAATGATTTGATATTTATTTTTTTGGTGAATTTTCTGGGTGCTCCTTCATCCTTGGTTAGTTTCCGTTTTCAAGTGCACTCTAGTTCAACCCCTTCTGCGTTCTGATTTTATCCCGAGTTTCTTTTTTTATTTTCATGATTTTTTTTATTTTTTTTATTGTTTCTGCTTTTGGAAATGAAGTTTTCAGGCGTTAGTAATGCGCTTCAATCTGTTTTATTCTTTCTTTTCTTTTGGTCTAGAAATCATTTGGTCATCTGAGAAAAAATGGAGTGAGAAACGATTGCATCAGGGAGTGTTTGATTTCTGCTCTTCGTTATTGATGTTTGTGTTTCAATGTCTATACTTATGGCCTATATTCATGGCCATCGCTCATTAGTTTGACACTTTTTTCAATTCTTTTTTTTTCAAAAAAAAAAAAATGATAAATAGGTTTGATCCCTTATGGGTTCTTATGCTTGTGTTGTGTGTGTTTACGCCTGCGGCGGGGTTGGCTACAATTTTTTAATCATTGGAAATGAAGGTTCCGTAAACGATTGATTTATAAAGATGTGTAGGATAAACAAAATATTAATCGTGTCTCTAGAATAGAGGTGTTCTGAATGGATGCATCACTTTATTGCCTTAACTTTCATATTTTATTGTTTCACTGATGACCCGTCGACTCTTTTGTTACTGTTTCGGAGAACGTGTTACTCAGTTATGCTAAATTCCCGTTCCCAATGTAACTCTGGTATCAATATAATATGCTTGTGTTTGATTTAGCGGAAGTATTATATTCAACTATGAGAATGTGAGATACGGGCTAGGTACCTGGCTTTTTTATTGCGTTATTTCATTTTTGTATACTATTGGAATTGGAGATACCTTTGGATGGAACCAACATTGATATTACTTATAGGTTGTGTTCTTGGTCTCTTGGATAGTGTACTTGGTAGCTCTGGGTTTTTTTCTATGTATCGCTTCATAAACCAAGGCTTTTACTTTTACAAGAGAAAGTGCTGCGTCTTAAATATTTGTCGGGCAATTATGCCTCTAAAATGCTTCTTTGAGCTCTTTTTCATGTTCTGATCCACTTGAGTGATCTATGAGATGTGTGTTTTCAATATGACTTTTTTAATTACAAGAACTATATTTTGATGTAGACTTTTTCATCAATTTTATTCTAGAGTTTAATATTTGCAAATCTTTATTCCTTTTTGATTTGTTGGACTGTTCCTGCTTCAGGTTAATGTTTACCAACCAACTTAATGAGTTGGTTATTTCTTTCCCCTCCCCCCCTTCTCTGCCCTCTCTCGCACCCATCAAAATATCTATCTATTTTGTACTTTTATTTCAATTTTACTGTTAAATCACTTAGTAATTTTTTGTTTTTATCATTTCTCTGGCACATCCCCTGTAAATATGTAAGCTTAAAGTCATAAGAGAACATATTAAGATTCTCAGAGTTAAAAGTTCCTTCAAGTAACCACAGGGCGGGCACAGTTGGTAGCGAAATGTGCCCCAAGAATCAGGTCATGTATTCGATCCTTGGCAGACGCTCTACCCTTGCACTCTAAGCCTCGGTTGGGGGATTAGTCTCATCTTCTCTACGTTGACAAATGTCCAAAGCTCCTGCTGTACCAACGAGGAGCTAGCCTTAAGGGCTGTACTCTGAGGGCAAGGTGGCTAGAGGGGTTGAATGAGGATACCTCGTTCGTTCCAACAAGAAAAAAAAAAGGTTCCTTTAAGCTCCCTTCCAAGCAAAGCTTGGTGTCCCCCGACCTTATAAATTCAATCCTCTTAATTACTATAAGATAATGAATTTGTACTTTGCTTAGTGTTTGGTGTATTATTTTTCTTTGAACTGATGTTTTTTGTATGTAACATGATGAACATATAATCCATTCCAGGTTATATTTCGTTATTTGTTGGATTATTTGTTTTTTTTATAGATCATGATAAGCACATTGCCTAAGACTTTTTTTTTTTTTTGGTAGGATGGAAATGAGGTATTTTTTAGGATCAAAAGAAACACTCAACTGAAGAAACTGATGAATGCATATTGTGATCGACAATCTGTGGACTTGAATTCCATTGCCTTCTTATTTGATGGTCGCCGTCTCCGGGCAGAACAGACTCCTGACGAGGTTTGCCCCTTGCCTTCACTCTTTCTTCATACTGGGAAATATATGTAGCCATGCATTTTAACCCTACTTATTTTTTGTATATTGATTCAGCTAGAAATGGAGGATGGGGATGAGATCGATGCGATGTTGCACCAAACTGGCGGAGCCCTGTGAACGTATTCAGTCTGTTTTTGCTGGTTCTTGTGAAAATTTGATACATGATATAGGGTAGTTATTTTGGTGTGTGTAACTTATGGATTTGAATTATGGGTATTGTGATAGACATCTTCGTTGTAGACCTTGTATGAAAAATCTGACATGCTCTTCGGGAGTTGTATCAGTTACAACTCGTATGTAATCAGGAGTCTTGAGTTAATAGCTTGATCCGTGAGTTGATTACGCTACTGTTGTCATAGGAGAGCTCTCATTGCTAAGAAATAATAATAATGTTAATATATTAGTCGTGAGAATGTGCGCTCCTTTTTCTTCTCTCTCCTAAAAGTGAGTTTGTATTGAAAATGAGCAAATAAAAAAGTGGATTTACTTTTGATTTAAATTGAACTATGATATACTTTTTGTTTAATTTAAAGATACATACATTTTAATGGCTTATTTTATAATAGTCTTAACTTAATTAATTAGCAAATTACATGTAATTAAATAATTAAGCATGTTTTAGTGAGTAAAATTAAGTATAAGGCTTAATTAAATGAATTTGAGTCACTTTGGAGTTAAAAAGTGTACTCAGTGAAAATTAAGGGGTATAAATGGGTGTAGGCAAAAGTACCTAAAATATAAAAATAAAAGTGGAAATATTCGTAGAAAAATATTTCAGACTTTTGGATAAAGTTTGGTAATTAATGGAGTTGAATAGATAGATGAATCAAAATCCGCATGATTCTACTTAACATGTGTTAAGTGATAAAACAACTAAAAGAACCCAAACCCCCCCCCCCCCCCAATTCCCCGTCGAGGAGAGGGAGAAAAGGGAAGAAGAAGGGGGAAACCATAGAGTGATCAAACTTTTGCCAAATCGACTCATTCCAAAGCCTAAACCACTCCAAATCTTCTTCTCTTTCATAATCCTAGCTTAGTTTTTAGTGGGGAGCATTGTGGATAGGGATATCCTCCTCCAAAAATTTGGCCCATTGGAGAAATTGAGGTGTTTGAGAGCTTCAACCTCCATTGAAGCTTGAGGAGCCATCAATCCTTGGTTGTGTGACCATTGGTGGTAAGATTCTAACCCTTGAACCTTGCTCTCTTGAAAATTTCATGATTTAGGGTTTTGAATGAATAGTGTTATGGGTTTTATGAAAATGTTAGTAGATTGGAGCTTAGTGTATGTTATGAGAAATGCTAGGAATGATGATTAATCGGTGAAAATGAGCTTAGATAGTTATATGACTATACTATGAATATTGCAAGAATATGATACTTGGTTGTGAGTTTTCTTGCAATTACGCTCAATGGTTTGGCTTGGTTGATTGATGATTGTGTCCTTGTGATGTCTAGGATTGAGACATTTGGACCAACCGCGAGTGATCAACCGTTGGAGCAAGCTATGGAGCTTGATTAGCTCATCGAAATAGGTGAGTCCATGCTTTAATTGTGGCATGATTGAGTAGTGGTTGGCAATTATGAGACACTTTGGATGCAATATGTTTTAATTGCATTAAACCTTGTGTAGGTCTTGTTTGGGAAATGGATTATTGTAATTGGTTGCTGAACCGTTGGTGGAGAACATAGGTTGGCAGAAGCTTGAGGTAAGCCTTCGGACCTTGGGTGTAATTCCCTTGATTGTTCCACCAAGCCCTGAAAGGGTAGTGGTAATTATGGTGTATATAAATGCAATGAAATAGTGTAATGCTTTGTTATACGTATGTGTATGCATTTGGTGTGGCATATGATGGTGTTTCCCTATGTGGTATGTTGCATGACGATGCGTAAATTATACTTGGTAGTTAGCTGGTCAGTAGGGCTATTTGCATCTGAGTTTCCTTAGGACAGCTTGAGAGCTCGAGGGATTTCTCCTGGAGATGTTATTGCATTTTGCATAGATATGTATTTACTGCATTATTATTGTTATTGCTATTACACTGATATGGAACTGTGGGGTGGAGAGATGCTCCAAAGACCCTTGGTTTACTGGATATATTCGTATATCTCACCCCGTGTTGTGGGGAACCCCCTTTCAGGTAAGGATGCTGCAGGAGCCACCAGTGGCAATGGCCATACTTGGACTAGTAGTGATGCATGAGGATCCTGTATTTTGATATTATACATGTTGTTTTGTAGCTCACATGCATAGGATTGTAATTAATAGACAATTGATAGATGTATGTTCTGTTTATTTGGAATGGACTTAGCCTATGCTCATGCCTTTAGTTATCTCTTTGTTGATGAGAGCCAATGGAGTGATCATAGTGTTTTGTAAGCTAAGTTTCATGCATTGTAATGAACATGATTTGTAATTGATGATTACATTAAGTTCATTATATGCATGCTCATTATGTATTGGATTGTTGAGCTGGAAAACTTGATTATATACCTAGTGCTAAATTGGGGAATGTTGAGAAAACAAAGGTTATGCTGCCCAAATTTTAGTATAATCCATGAGGAGAAGTTTAATCCATTGAGGCTTGCCATGGGGATGCCCTTTTCCCTAGTTTTGGACTTGAGAAATGAGAGAGGGAGAATTCCTTGGCAGCGCGCTCGAGCGCCCAGGAGCGCGCTCGAGCGCCCTGCTGCCCCTGTGAGAGCTAATGCTCTCTGCCTCCTCGCGCCGGAGCGCCCAAAGTGGGGGCTTAAGCACCCAGGATTGCGCGCTTGAGCGCCCTGGTTTGCGCTTAAGCGCCCTACGCTGAGGAAAGATGGGATGCTTACTGTCTCCGCGGGCTTTAGCGCCCAGAGTGGGGGCTAAAGCGCCCAGGGTTGTGCGCTTGAGCGCCCAAGGTTGTGCGCTTGAGCGCCCTGGTTCGCGCTTGAGCGCCCTTAGCCACTGAAGGAGGAGATGCTTCTGCCTCTGCGCGCTAAAACGTCCCAAATGGGGGCTTAAGCGCCCAAGATATCGCGCTTGAGCGCCTTGGTGCGCACTTAAGCGCCCATTTACACTGAAAGACATGATGCTCTTTGCCTCCGTGCGCTTAAGCGCCCAGATGGAGGCTTTAGCGCCCGATAACGCGAGCTGAAGCGCGGCGGGGCCTGTGTTCAACACCCTCTTTTGTTGCTTCAAATTGTCATAACTTGGGCTACAGTGCTCCAAACGAGGCGCGGTTCGAAGCCACGCGTAGCTAATGATTGGAAGAAGACATTTAATAACCTTTGGTCTAAGGATATAAGAGTATGATGTTAAGCTTAATTCATTTTATTTCGCAATGTAATATGATTATGATCACGCAATTGGACATTATAAATTCGGCATGTTTTAAAATGAAAAATTTAACCAGATTTTAATTTAACCCATGTGATTGTAACTGCGCTCAATATCATAATGCGATGTTAACAAACTGGTTCTAGAACGGGGTGTTACATATTTTAAAGAAAAAGGTTAGGTTATATTTATAAAGCGGTTACAAAGAGTAGTTACAATTATAAACTCTTAGTTAATGCTATTAACGCCATAATAGTTTGTAAAGTGGTTTTTTCTAAACTACTTGAATAATCGGATAATTGGGCATATTTCATAAAAGGAAAATATATTTTTCCTGTTACACAAAATAATTTTGTTTTATGTAATACACAAAATAAATAGATTTTTTTTTTTTTTTTGTAAATTACAGGAAATAGAACACACAACCACACACTCACACACACCCACACCACTAGGCTAGCCCTAGTGGATTAATTTTTTTTTCTTTTCTTTTCTATCTCTTTGTTTGTCTTAGTAGACTTTATCCATTTTTTTTTATGTGTTGTATCGTATTCCCTTTTCTTCAAATAAAGAAACGAAAACAAACTCATCAATACAAATATTCACAGCCAACACAATGGGAGTACCAATTGGTCATGAATTCTGAAACACGGAATCGTTCTTTTTTGTGAATTGTGCGTGTCGGACATTTTCCGACACGGACACGCTCTGACACGTGGTCAATATTTTAGAACACGTGGTCAACTCTTTGACACGCTCCGACACATTTTTTGATACGCAGTCAACTTTTTTCGATACGTCGTCAACGCTCGGACATGTTCGGACACTTTTTTCTTTAGTCTTAATTTTATTTTATTAACTAAAAATAAAAAAAATCATTTATAAATCAACTTTTTTCTGTTATGGAATTTGACATGAAAAATTAACAAGGTACGAAAAATTATTTTTGTTTATATTTATGTTATGAAATTTAAATATTTGATTGGTTATATGACTTCTTATGGACTGTTATATCTATTAAATATAAATTATATTATATATATTAAAAATATTATTTAATATCAAAACGTGTCTCAACGTGTCAAAAGTTGTCATTTTTTAAAATTAACATGTCGGCGTGTCGTGTCGTGTCCCGTGTCAATGTCCATGCATCATACCTCACGACTCATGACAAGATGGTACTATATACGTAAAATAGACGTAACCCAATAATAAAGAAAGATGTGTATTTGCTTGCTTAATTTAATTAATCACTAAGCCTTCATTGATAATTTACATGCCTGTTGAATCCTTCGGACCTAAATTGGCACTTGTTAAAAGGGATTTTTTTTTCTTTTTGGTACAAACGTTAAAAGGGAATTAAATAAGGATTTTATAAGAGTTATGTTATAGGAAAAGTGATTGTGTAATGTTATAGAGATTCGTTTTGGGTGCCTTAATTTTTTATTTATTTTTTTGTTTTAAAAAGTGTGGGCCCCACAAAATATTGTGAGGGTAGAAAAGTTTGTTGTGTTATGTTAAAGGATAAAATGAAAACCCATTAAATAATGGCTTTAATATTTCTTATATAGTAGGAGAGAAAAATATCTTTTATATATACATAAAAATGTGTGAAACTGGCCTAATGTGAAAAGAAAAGAAAAGAAAAATATGAATTTTACATACTTTTATATATATGTAAGAAATAATTGTATCTTTTATAACATGAGAAACATTAAACATTAAACCTTAAATAAAATAACAAAGTGACAGTAGCACGTCGGCCATTTCACGGGTCTATAGAGATTAGAGATTGAGAAATTCATTTTAATCGTCTGCTGATCGTGACTAAACAATTTTTTACTCCTGATTTGAATTCCAGCTGCACTTCGGAAAGTTTTACTCCGGATGTGAACAAAACAAATTTGAAAAATTAGACTTGCAAGATGACAATCTGAAAGCAACATAATAGGAGTTCCATTCCATACATATATTTAGAAATACTGTTTCATGGGATCGGGTTTACAACCGTATGTTGGACTCGCATGGATACAGCATATGAGTTCCATACATTATTGTGAGTGCAGCTATTACAAACATAGCTCCAACATAACAAAGTTCAACAATACAGCGACATTAGTAAAAACGATTATTATTACAGCCTATTTACAAAAAAGCCAAACACAAACACACATACTAAAATAGTAATTATAACATAAACATTCCTCAGACTAATTTCTGACGTGCAAGGACCACAATAGGACTAGTCACTCTGTGCTTGCCATCTGTCCACGACAAGTTCCCAAATATTGGTAAACCATGACGTGGCACGCCCCTCGCCTGCATAATAACCCGAAAGGTCTTCTTTTCTCCAGTTGTCTTAAAAGTCAAGGAACTTGGTTGAACAAGAACCTTAAATCCTTCAAGCAGGTGAGTTTTCACAACGTATGTACTCGGAGGCCCAACGTTTGTAACTGTACGACTAACATTTATAAGGTTTGTCCCCCGATGAGTTACCGTGATTGAAGGGTAGTTGAAATCTTCAATGTTGTAAGACTTAGGACAAGTGTGAGAGATTTTCAACTTAGAAAACAACATGAGTAAAGCTTGGTTGTAACCAGATGCACATAAGAAGTCCAAGTAATCATTTGTGCTTAAATCATAAACAAGTCCAGGATCCATTGCGAGGTTTGGCTGAATATGCCCTGCGCCGTATTCGAATGGAGTTGCTATCTGATCAAATGCATCCTTAATAGGCCGATTCGTGTTATCTAGCGTTGTAGCTGGAATTAAGACCATAATTTTTATTAAGTCATCAATGCTTTTCCAAAATGTATGCGGCATTTTAACATTTTATGTAGGACAATGCATCTAGTGTTAAACATGCACGTGAAAATATTGCTTTGGTTTTCGGAATTCTGGGTAGAAGTAACTACTAAATTAAGATTCGATATATATACATGCAGTAACTACCTAACATATATATATATATATATATATATATATATATTTAATGTCGTTTAATACTATATTACTGCATATTGTGCATATATATATATATATGTTGATTTATATTGTAATTTTGGCAACATACCAGTAGTCATGATGGCTGATTTGATAGCTGCTGGACTCCAATTAGGATGAATTGTTTTGAGAAGACCTGCAACCCCAGCAACATGAGGGCAAGACATAGAAGTTCCCTGTTGTGCATTGAAAAGAACTCTACGTGCATCTGATGCTAGATTAGAGGGACCTGCTCCTTGTGTAAAAGCGGCAATTACGTTAACACCAGGAGCAGTTATGTCAGGCTGAAACAGAAAGCAAAAGTATTGTGACTGCAAAATCCTCTCCACACGAGTCAAGCAGTTATTGCAAGAAGAATGTAAAATAATCTGGTCATGAAGATGAAACAAAATATAGACCTTGAGTATCAATGGTTGCACGGCACTGGGACCCCTAGATGAGAATCCAGCCATAATTGGAGCTGGTTTTATTCCTATATATGTTTTTGCTGCAGTCAAGTAAGCCTGAAGCTGCCTGCAATATGTTTATAAATGAAATGGTTCATTTGCTGCAAGTGTATATATATAGAATGCAACATTTAAAGGGATTAATGATTGATTACTTGCTGTTTCCGTTGGAACCTCCTTGACCTTGATAATCCTGTACATTGATACTTGCAGCAGGTAAAATATGAGGCTCAGCTAAAAGTGTATTTCCACTTTGCTTATCATTTTTCACAAACACTGCCACAGCGCCAGCAAGAGCACCCTGCTGCCCCTCACCAACTGATGTTATTTTATTACTTCGAAGGCAGATTAGTATTTTCCCCCTTACTTTTGTAGGATCAAGTGTTCCAGGCTTGCAAAGGCGACTACATCAACATATATATATATATATATATAATAGATATTTATATATGTAATAGAAAAGGAGCAAATATTTAACAGATCGATTTAGTATAAATATTTGAAGAAAGCCATGGAAATTTGTGCTTACGCATCATTAATCGACACATTGGGAAGTCCAGCATTATTAGCACTTATCAAAGGATAGAACTTTCTTGATGCTGGTGGCAAGCCTCTATTAAGACTGGCACCCTGATTGATATACACACAGACACAGTACAATAATTAAGTTGATAGAAAATTAAACGAAAGAATAATAATAATAATACCAGCAGCAATGCATTAATGTTGCTGAGATGGTATACGTGTACCTTTATGTAGTTTTTGTTTCCAACAGAAATGTTGCTGAGAAAATCCCTGTCCATTGTACTAGCAGCAACAGTGAAGGACCATGGTGCCACATTTGCGACAGTTCTGGGTGCTGGACCATCATTCCCAGCTGAGCAAACAACAACAATATTTCTTGCAACTGCATGGAAGGAACCTATGGAAATACCATCTGATAACAAATCTTCAGCATGGGGAGTACTCCAACTCACAGAGGCAGATATGACATCAACTCTATCATATATGGCTTGATCAAATGCTGCTAGCAAGTCTGCTCCCTGGCACCCACCTGTATCCATTCTATTCCAACATGCTTTGTAGGCAACAACACGAGCTCTTGGGGATCCTCCCTTAGCAGTACCGTAACCATTACCAAACACATTTGCACCTCTAGCAAAATTACCACCAGCAGTTGACAGAGTGTGTGTACCGTGGCCTACAAAGTCACGTGCAGTGCGTTCCATTGGGTCCAGTTTGCGGACTTCTGCTTCGTGACTTTTGCTGAAGATTCTTGCTCCAATCAGCTTCCTGATTCATCATCATATCATCATGTTGTATGCCTGTGTTAGGCTCTAGTTCTATTCTAGTTCTAGTTCTATTCTAGTTCTATCAGCAATAACAAAATTTTCAATGATTTAGTCTAGACTGTCACAAACACTGTAAGTTAATTAAATCGTTACATCATTTTGTTATAGCAAACCATGTATCTAACATATAAATTACTTGTACACTTTTTTGTTACCTTTCATCTTGTTGGAATAGAAGATTCTATATGTTGTTATGATTTGCTGTGATATGTTGTAACCTGTAGTTTGTTAGGATATGTATAACTGAGTCCTATTGTAATTAGGTGTAGTTACTTATCTTTAGGAAGTTGTTTTACTATTTGGTAACAGACTGTTTGGTAACAGCCGTAACAGCCTATTCTATTTAAGATACATTGATGTACAGTTTTAAATCAATGGAAATACTATCAATTGATACCATTTATCATGGTATCAGAGCGATCCCTTGTTAAAAAAAAAAAAAACTTCCGAAACGTGTAGACTCTGAAAACAGTGAGCAGGAGATAGCTTCTGTTCAAGATGGCCAATGAAAACAGCAGCAGGTTGAAGCCATCAGACCCTGGATCACCATTCTATCTGACTGGATCAGATAGCCCAGGGATTCTTTTAACAACCGTTATGCTGAGAGGAGAAGCCAACTACGAGAATTGGGAAAAGTTTGTTGAACGTCCTCCATGCATTCACTGCGGGAAAACTAATCATGAAGCCTCTCGATGCTGGCAAGCATTTGGCTATCCTGGACGTGGTGGTAGCAGAGGACGAGGACCTGGACGAGGACGTGGACGTTTCGGTGGTGATAGGAGCAGTAACCCACAAGGAGGATTCCATGCAAAGCCATTTGGTGCACACGCAGCTCAAACGGAGGAACCACTAGAGCAAGCAAATGCATTCGCCGTTCTGACACCTGACGTGGTGACACAATTGTTATCATTGGTTGACAACCTGCAACGCTCAAAGGACAAATTAAATCGTAAAGATTCCCATTGTCACTGGCTTATAGATAGTGGTGCATCACGCCACATGACAGGGGTATTGGAATTGCTGGAGAATGTTACAGATGTTGAACCTTTGGCAATCGGTTTACCCAATGGAGCTATTACTTATGCTGTGCAACAAGGATCTGTTTCGTTTACTCCTTCTTTTTCATTATCCAATGTCTTATTTGTGCCAAATTTAAAGTGTAACTTGATATCTGTATCTCAGTTGGTACGACAACATAATGTTGATGTGGTATTCACTAATAATAGTTGTGTTTTGCAGGACCGCAAGCTGAGGACGGAGATTGGATTGGGTGATCACAGGGATGGTGTGTATGTGTTTCGACCAAGCCAAGCAGCAGCTTTAACAGTTCGCTCCAGTGATACGCAAGAACTTTGGCACAAGCGGTTGGGCCATGCATCATCCGAAGCACTTTCTCTGATTCCTTTTTCTAGTAGCATTCGATTTGGCAATGTAAACAATAAGGCATGCGATATTTGTTATCGTGCCAAACAAAATCGATCCTCGTTTCCCATTAGTGATCGAAAGAGTAATAAAATTTTTGATCTTCTTCATTGTGATACATGGGGTCCTTACCGCACTTCCTCTTTCTCTGGTGCTTATTATTTTTTAACGATAGTCGATGACTTCAGTCGTGCTGTTTGGGTTTGTTTGATGGGTGACAAAAGTGAAACTTTTGGTGTGTTACGAAAATTTCTTTTAATGGTGCAAAATCAGTTTAATACAACAGTTAAGAGTATTAGATCAGATAATGGAACTGAATTTACTTCCAACAAGATGATTGAATTATTCACTGCCAATGGTATATTTCATCAGAAATCTTGTGTTCATACGCCGCAACAGAACAGTCGGGTAGAACGGAAGCATAGGCATATTCTAAATGTGTCTCGTGCTCTTTTGTTTCAAGCAAACTTGCCAATCAAATTCTGGGGAGAGAGTGTGATGACAACAGCTCATATTATTAATAGAACTCCCACAAAGCTTCTCAATGGCAAAACTCCTTATGAGCTTTTGCATGGATCTGTTGCTGATTACAGTCACTTAAGGATATTTGGCTGCCTATGTTATGCGGTGACACAACCAAAACCTACAAACAAATTTAGTCCACGGTCTAGGCGGTGTATGTTTGTTGGTTATCCTCATGGGCAGAAAGGTTGGAGAGTGTATGATCTTAATACTAAGGAATTCTTTGTGTCACGAGATGTCAGTTTCCACGAAGATGAGTTTCCTTTTGTTGCTATAAGTGTGCCTACACCTAGCCCATCATTACCTACATTTATACCAATAGATTCTAATGATTCTGCCAATCCAGTATCTCAATCAACTTCAAATGATTGTGAGGCAGAAGTGCAGTTGGAAGATAGGGGGAGTGTCCATCAGTCTGAAAGGGAGCCGAATGAAGATTCTACATCAAATGCTGATCAAGTGCAAAGGAGTGAGGATCCAGCTCCTGCTCTCGTACAAAGGAATGAAGATTCAGCTCACGAACTTGTGCAAAGAAGTGCAGAATCAGCTCAAAACGATTCTCTTCGTCCAGCACGCACACGAAGGCCTCCGTCCTATTTGAGTAACTACAAATGTAATCTGATTGAGGCACATACATACACTCCCAGTCTCACCTCTTCTAGCTCCACCTCAGGTATACGGTATCCAATTGCCAACTATGTGAATACTAACAATTTTTCTTCAAAACATCGAGTTTTTGTTGCTGCTATTGATGCAGGTAGTGAACCTCGGTCATTTAAAGAAGCAATGACCAATGATGTTTGGCGTAAAGCTATGGCTCAGGAGATACATGCACTAGAAGAAAATAATACGTGGACTATCACTGATTTACCTGCAGGCAAACATGCCCTTCCATGTAAATGGGTATATAAAATTAAATATCATTCCAATGGTAGCATCGAGCGCTACAAAGCAAGGTTGGTAATTGCAGGTAATCATCAAGTTCCAGGAGAAGATTCCATGAAACTTACGCTCCTGTAGCGAAAATGGTGAGTGTTAGAACTCTACTCTCGGTTGCAGCTGCAAAAGGTTGGTACTTGCACCAAATGGATGTTCATAATGCGTTTCTTAATGGAGAACTGGACGAAGAAGTGTATATGCGCATACCGGCAGGCTTTAATCAAGGACAAGGAAGAAAAGTGTGTCGTTTGCAAAGGTCGTTATATGGCTTACGACAATCTCCCAGGAATTGGTTTGCAAAGTTGAGTTCCTCACTTATTAAATACGGTTTTGTTCAATCCGAAGCAGATCACACTTTGTTCACTTTGAAGCGTGGTTCTACCTTCTTGACCATACTAGTCTATGTTGATGATTTGGTGTTGGCAGGCAATGATTCCCAAGCATGTCAAGAGGTTAAGATTTATCTTAACAAGTGTTTTAAAATTAAAGATTTGGGTCACTTGAAATATTTTTTGGGCATCGAGGTTGCCCGTAGCAATGAGGGTATCTTCTTGTGCCAACGAAAATATGCATTAGATATCCTCAAAGAAACAGGTTTGTTGGATTGTAAACCGGTTCAGTTTCCAATTGAACAGAATCATCGCTTAGCTCTGGCAGATGGACCTGACTATGATGATCCAGGTCGCTATAGAAGAATTGTCGGCAAGCTAGTGTACCTTACGATCACTCGTCCTGATTTGAGTTATGTAGTGCACACTCTTTCACAGTTCATGCAAGCTCCAAAGGAAGCACATTATGAGGCTGCCATTCGGGTACTAAGATACATCAAAATGAATCCTGGCCAAGGTATCCTCCTTTCTTCCAAAAGTGATCTCAAAATTCATGCTTTCTGTGATTCAGATTGGGCCAGCTGCCCTTTAACTCGCCGGTCAGTTTCTGGGTTCTTCATTATGCTTGGAACCTCACCTGTTTCTTGGAAAACAAAGAAGCAACTCACTGTCTCACGCTCCTCAGCAGAGGCTGAGTACCGCTCCATGGCTGCCGCGACAGCAGAATTGATATGGTTGAAGTCTTTTCTTGCTTCACTTGATGTTATCCATGATGATCCTATGGAATTATGTTGTGATAATCAAGCCGCTATACATATCGCGGCAAATCCTGTGTTCCATGAGCGAACTAAACACATTGAAATTGATTGCCATTTTGTCCGGGAAAGGTTGGTTTCTAAGACGATTCGAACTACTTTTGTTCGTTCTCATTTGCAACTCGCAGACATTTTCACTAAAGCACTTGGTCGTGTTCCATTTCTTGCCGTTCTTTCCAAGTTAGGCATTTCATGTCTTCATGCTCCAACTTGAGGGGGAGTGTTGGAATAGAAGATTCTATATGTTGTTATGATTTGCTGTGATATGTTGTAACCTGTAGTTTGTTAGGATATGTATAACTGAGTCCTATTGTAATTAGGTGTAGTTACTTATCTTTAGGAAGTTGTTTTACTATTTGGTAACAGACTGTTTGGTAACAGCCGTAACAGCCTATTCTATTTAAGATACATTGATGTACAGTTTTAAATCAATGGAAATACTATCAATTGATACCATTTATCACATCTTTTCTAAAATTCTGCTCTGATCATTTCACATTGAATAATGCTTGTTAATTTCTCTCTAAGAATTGATAATGTACATGCAACCGAGTTTAATAATCCTTTAATAATTTTGATTTTTACTTTAACTTGATTATTAATTTTTAAAAGCACTCATTTAATTTGCTACAAGTTGGAATCGCTTAACTCACTTTTCACGAAGTTAAATAACAATTAAAGAAAGGGAAAACTTTTTCTCATGTTGCATGAGAATTCAACTCTTATGTTAGTGACCTTTCGATTTGCGTGCAAAGCTTTTCTTTTCTTTTTCTTTTTTTAATAAATATGGGACCCACCACTAGTTGAGTCACAACATGAGAAGTGAATTCTCATGCAACATGAGAAAATTAAATCCCTTAAAGAAAATATGACCTGTTGCAGAACGTTTTCTTTGTAGCATTAAAGAGATCAATCTCACAGAGCCCTTTACCCCGCCACTTCGATGGGACAGGCCCGTATCCTTTGTCGCTGAAACTCGGGTGTTCGGGCCAAACGCCTGTTCAAGAAGCACTTATCAACCTCCAAATATATATTATATACAAAAATTAAAACATATTCGGAGTACAAATTTATGAAGAAAATGTATACAATTTAAGTGAGAATGAAACCGCTTATTTCTTGTAGTGACTTCCTTAAAGCCTAATGAGATTTGTGTACGAAATTTTTTTATAAGAATAATAATACTCTTTAACAAAAAAACAAAAAAAAAGTTTAGGAGAGTCCGTCCTAAAAAAAAATCTGAGTTTAGGATAATATAATCTAGGAATGGTAAGACACAAAGCAATGGTTGTGAACTGTCCAAGTACTCAACCTTGCTTGGAAAGACCCAAATTAGTATAAATTAGTTTAAAGTCCATGTTTATTTATTTTGTACTTCTATGCATTTACTTCCCAAATTTAAGTTTCTTAGTTTTTGTTTCAGATAAAATGAGATATTTGTGAAAAATTAAAAAGTTTTAGTTAGTCGAATTTTTTTTCAATGAATTAACTGCTGAAATTTACATTTAAGGAAAAAAATATATTAGGTAATCACTAATCAGGAAAAATTAAGGAATACGCCACGATTATATATTACCTTCGTGAGTATTCATATACCCTGGTCTTGCTTTCCTTTCTATTACGGGTGCTAAATAAATCAGGGGCCTTTGGCTCGGCTTGTGAATGCATGAGCTTACATGTCTAAAATTTGTTGTTGATATCAGGCTTGAACTTGTATAAAAGTCCGTTTAATAAAAAAGCTTCGAACTCTAATTCAAAAGCTCGGCTTTAAAGCCGTTCAGGCTGGCCTAGTATATTATTTTTATACTACTTGTAATAGCCCTCTCTTTCTCCTCAATCCATTTCACTTCATTTTATTGGTTAAACAGACTTTTTGAATGATTTTGTTCTATATTATGTTGTTTGGATATAAATTAAATTTATGAATATTTATGGAATTATTAGTGTTGTTGATTGTATATTCTGTTTGGATAAATTTTTGTTGTTTTATTTTTTTCAAACAGGCTAAACAAGACTTTTATTTTTGTAAATAAGTCAGGCCACATGCCTGTAGTTATATTTATAACAGGTAACAGGCTCACATGCTTAGCCTTTGAAGACTAAAGCTCGGCCCGTTAACACTCTTACTTTCTATCCAATATATATATGATATAGGATCCTTTGACACCGGTGTCAAATTTAAAGTTTGACACCTCATCTGAGAGCCGTTAGATAAAAAAAGATCAATGGTGTCACATGTTCACAAATCAGAGTCATTGATCTTTTTTGATCTAACGGCTCTTATATGAGGTGTCAAACTTTAAATTTGACACCGGTGTCAAAGGATCTGCCTATATATATATATATATATATATATATATATATATATATATATATATATATATATATATATATATATATATATATATACCCTGATCTTTTTCTACGATACTAATAACAAATTAAAAAAGAAAAAAATATAGTCCTTTATTTTATGGCTTCATACAGCTCATACATTTATGGGGCGTTTGGTGTATGAGAAATTTTTTTTTATCAGGAATAAAAGATTGTTGGGGATTTGGTAGAAATTTTTTCATCCCGACTAAGTTACGAAAAAGTGTTTTGTTGGCCAAAATTTCTCCAGGAAAGTTGGGTTAATTTTACTGATACTATATTTGGTTAATGGTAAAATATTGATGAGAATGTGAACCGAAATTACCAAAATACCCATCATTTTTTAAATATTATCAGTCATCATCAAACGTGCCCATTAATGACCTGGGAGAATTCTTGTGTCTTCCCCCTCCTTACGGTCCTTATTAGAAGCATGAATAGAAAAATGAAGAAAAAATGCAGCACCATATCGTGCCCATTAATTTCAGAAACCTTCAAACCTTACAGCGCTCATATACTATAGGCCAATAGGGTATTTTGGTCTCAAAACATTTTGTTCAGAATCTGAGTTAATGGAAAAAAAAATACAATGGTGCAAGTGGGATACTTTTTTAGATGTGTGTAGTTGAAAAGGAGAATGATGGGAAGAAAAATTTGATGAGATTTTGTTCACTTTTCTTATATCAAACATGGTAGGTAGAGTTAATGAAAAAAAAAAATACAATGGTGTAAGTGGGATACTTTTTTTGTGTAGTTGAAAAGGAAAATGACGGGAAAGAGATTTTGTTCACTTTTCTTATACCAAACATGGTAAAGAAATTTACTCCACCCCAGTCTCTTGTCGTTTGAACTAAAATACTCGTACCAAATACTCTTTGGAGCACGGGAAACGTGAGTGCGTGACAGTGACAGATTACTATGGGTCGTATAGTAACTCGTCTTGATCCGTTGGATTTTTAGCCAGATTTGAACATATAATTAAGGAAAATTAATTCTCACGTGAGATTTTGACATGACAAAAATTACTTTAAGTTATATTAATATTTATTTTCAGTATTGATGATAACTAATTTAAATTAATATCTTAAAAATAATATTTTTTTTGTAGAATAAAAATAATATATTTACATTTTATATTAATATGATTCTAAATTTGAAAATAAAATAAATATAAGGATATATAAAAAAAGAAAAATTAAGAAATTAAGAAATAAAAAATAAAATGAAAGGAATATAGAGAAAAAAGAAAGAAAAAAGACATAAATAAATAGGTAAGAAAATAAAAGATTGAAAAGAAAAATAAAAGAAAAGTAAAGAAGGGGAAATAATGAGGAAAAAGATTACAAAAGTAATATCTAGAACATAAGAATAAAAATGTGTCCAACCCTTCACTATGCTTATAATTTTTTTTTTCACTCTCTCTCACGACTTATGATCTGTCAATCTATATCTCATTCCATTGAATCTTATTTTATTATTTTTTTTAAGTAAATTTCAGTTTACCTTTGTCTTTTTTGTGTGTGTTAAACTCTTGTTAACAAATTTTTTTTAGAGTAAATATCATTTTTGGTGCTCAACAAATTTTACGATGCCCGCTTTAATTCCTAGCAAATAAAAAAGCTATTCGTGGTCCATAAGAAATTCAAAATAGACATATTTAGTTGAAATCGTGATTCTTCACAAATTCAAAAAAAATTCACATTAGCCCCTCAAAAGGACTAAAATGAGTTCACTTTGAATTTCTTAAGAACCACGAATAACTTTTTTATTTGATAGAAACTAGAGCGGATATCGTAAAATTTATTGAGTACCGAAAAAAGGTATTTACTCTTTTTATTTTATTTTATCTCATATTGATTATTTATTTATTTTTTGTTTTAAAACTACTGATTTCAAAACAACCAATTAAAATTCAAGGCCTGTAAACTTGAAAATACCTGTATCGATGTTGGCGATGATTGTATTTTCACCGAATCTTGCCTTTCTCCAAGCAGAGTTTGCAGGTATTCTTCCATTTTTTTCCAGTCCAAGAAAGTCCCATGACCTTGTAGTGTGCAATTTATGCTCTCTGCTCAAGAATACTGAAACTACGTTTGGGTTTTCTGCACCAAAGGAAACATGGTATCAATTAGTGGCTACACAATGACTAGAAAATCATGGCCATGGCAATCTTATATCTTTGCTCACTTGCAAACTCTGAAGCTTCTTTCTCTTCGAGTAGGGCAGCAAAACCATTGATGTGCTTATTGTATGAGTACATAATTGCTTCCTTGGCCTTCTCGTGACTGTCAAGAAAAAAACATGTACATTTAAGTCAATTGTTTCTCACGTCCCAGAATATTTAACTTCATACATACATATATATATATATAGTTGCTAACCTTCCCAAGACAGAACCCAGTAAATCATAATGGGAATTTGTGGCTGTTTCCAGATCATCAGGCGAAGGGTCTGGACCATGAGAATGCCCTCCCAAGTAAACAATGTAGGTCTGAAACAGAGAATCAAAATCAAACAATTGGTTTAACGTTATATGGTACATCAACAAAATTTAAATTTGGAAATTCTCCAAGTTAATCGTAACTTGGGAAGAGACAGGGCCAAATTAAGCTCTGTATCAGATACTTGAATGAAAATTAGTCGTAATCAGGGGAGTAAAAAGCAAAACATACTAGCCTTTTTAAGGGCATTGGTAGGTTCCTGAAAGAAAATACAAAGAAGGAATGATGATAAAACAAGTTTGAAGATGAAAGATGCCATCATATATCTTCAACTGGCGTTTTGGAGTAGCTGGGAACGGGCTTTGCTTCTTCTTATATAACTCTTGTTTACTGTTTGTTACACATTTTTTTTTTTTTTTTATATTTGTTAAACTTTTTTATTTAAACTTTTTAATAATATTTACATAAAATTAATTTTTGTAAGAAATGTTTTTAATATTAGTTGTCAGTATTTACAGAATAATATGTTATTCGATAAACTAAACGCGAGTAATTAGTACTTACATATTGACATTTAAGGATAATTTTTCATTAATGATTAGTTCGTTTTATAAATTAAATTTTCATACAATATATTTCATTTCTCACTTTGGTCCGAAATCGTTTATAAAAAAAGAAGAAGAAAAAATTAATCATTATGTGCCCTAATTAAATGCTTTGAATCGTAATTTTGCTTTATAGGTTAACTTTCCGTGGTTACATGCAAGGGAAAAGTGTTTGTACTATTAACGGCACAATTTATATTATTTCACTCTTATAAAGAGGTATGATCCACAATTTTATATTTTTTTGGTCAACTCTCTCCTCCTTTATCTATCTCTTTCTCTCATTTAAAATGACACAATTTTACATTTTTTAAAATGATACATATTTTTGCTTATATGAAATATATGCCTCTCGTGCCATTTAACTATGGGAATTTTACTTTTCTTTTAATTGGAAAAAAAATTTCCTGCACCAACCGATTATATTATATATTACAAATAGTATATAATTATAATGATAAATTATTCTCTCTCTTCATCACGTCAGTCAATAATATTTGAGGAGATAAAAAAAATAATTTTATTATTATAATTATATACTACTGACAATGCATAGAGTAATCAATTGCTCTGCAAAATAAAATAAAATTATAGCACAGAAAAGATGCACCCTTTAACTAAAATAAAACAGTTCAGGCTCACTAAAGATCAGTTTGTGTGGGCTCGGATTTCAAAACTCAAATATTTTAAAAATTTAAAAAGAATTAATATTTATTATGTTATAGGAGATAATTTTTATGTTTTATGTGATTACGTATATATAAAAGTATGTAAGGTTTATTTTTTTCTTTTTAAATGGTCACATATGAATTTCATATATATATATATATATATATATATATATATAAGATAAAATTAATTTTATAATATTAGAAACATAAATTCCATAAAAAATAAAACACTACATAATTATTTTTCTTCTAGTCTTGCTTAGATTTATTACCTTTTTTAAAATAAAATAAAAAAGACAACCTTAAAGAAAAGAAAAAATCAAAAAAGATAGATCATCATAGGTGACATCATCAAACTAGACCATCAAGCAAATTCATAGAACGACAAACACAAGAAGTAAATTATTTTTTCCAAGTTTGGAGTTATTCTCACTCAATTATTTCGGGTTATCTTGTCCTCCTCGAAGTACGATATTGAAATTACTTAATTAAACCGGAGATAGAATATGATTAATTTTCCACCACCGACACTTGCAAAGCAGAAATAAATTTAGCCTGTAATCCCAAAAAGAATCAAGACTTCAATTCAACCCTTCAGACAGACTCCGGTATCTGATGTTGGAGTTTATTTAGTGTGGGCCGGGACTTAGTAGTTCCTAATTAAAAATGAAAAAAAAAAAAGGATTCAGATAAAATTTAAAAAGAAGAAAAGGATTTCAATGATTTTCTTTTTCTTTTTTTGGTAAAGGTGCATCCAAAAAAACACGAGCCCAGTGTATATTAAAAAAAGGTTTTATAATTCTCATTCAATATAAGAATTCAAATTTTTCTATACACCCTTCGATTTTCATGCTAACATGAGTCCCACATATAATTTTTCTAACACATGGGTCCCACATGTTTTTTATCTACACAACATGATAATTGAATTCTCATTCAACATGAGAAAATCAAACCCCGTTAAAAAATCCTCTGATGTTGGTAAGAGATATAAAAGATAATTTTTCTTTTTTTCATATTATTATTTTTTTCTTTTTTTAATAAAAAAGTACCTACAGTTATTGTGCCGAAAATACACTCATAAAAATGGGGTCGCCAGCAAGCAATTTCAAGAAGAGTGACTATTTTGTCATATTTGGCAAAAAAATTTACCAGACTGCCACGTCAACAGTAAACTTTGCCAAAATGCCACGCGTTATATTTCGCTACATTGTGTAGCGAAATATACAGTGTAGCGAAATATGTTTGCAAGTAATTCGCTACTCAGTGTAGCGAAATATGCCATGTCAGAATGCACAGTCAGCAAAAAATGACACATGTCAAGCAGGTAGAAATTCGCTACACTGTGTAGCGAATTATGTTTGAATTCTGCCTGCTTGACACGTGACATTTTTGGTTCTGAGCATTCTGACGTGACATATTTTGTTACACTGTATAGTGAATTACTTGCAAACATATTTCGCTACACAGTGTAGCGAAATTTGCCGCGTGGTATTTTGACAAAATTTACGGTTGACGTGGCAGTTTGGTAAAAAAATTTGTCAAGCGTGACAAAATAATCACTGTTGCGCAATTTCATTATATTTATTCAGTGGAAGTAGTACTGTGTGATGGGTAGTACAATACTACTAATGATATTCTACCTTAAGTCCCGTCAGAGTTAAATGTGGTTTCTTCAGTGAGGAAGGCATAAAAGGGGAGTCGCCTGCAAGCAATTTTCCTTATAATGAAACAGGACAGCTAAATCTTTCGACGATATTGATGGTCAGTGGTACGAGAAGTTCCCTTCATTAAGTCTTCTTCACTTGTTCTCACCTGACTTTCCTATCAATGAACGAGAGTTATGTTCAACATCACCCTTACAACCCCCCCATACTTTGTTGTTCACTGAATAAGACATGCGTGTAAGATCTTTGTGCTTTTGTTTTCAATATTCAAACCCATATTCAACAAGGGAAAATTTCTTATTTTATACTAGGTAAATTGTCTCGTATAACACAACCAAGAATAAGTAGATTCACTTATTCTTTTTTTCTCTCTTTTTAGTATTTTTCACTTTTTTTTTTAATTACACCAGATAATTTATGTCATGTAATATAAGAAATATGAATAAATTCACATTTGAAAATTGTTAATGTTATTTTTTTATTTAAAACTATTGAAAAATATGAAATTAATAATGTGATTTCATCTAACAACTTCAATTATAAAAAAAAAAACATGTTAGTAGCATTTTGTATTATATCTGTGGTTCAGTCCTGAACATAGGTTTAATGGACAAATAGGGAACTGAACCACATATATAATGAAAAGTGTACTAACATTATTTTATATTTTTTAACACATTTTTATTATCAGATAAACTTTTATATTCATTTTATCAACAGAAGTAAATTAAGGTTATTTAATAAAATTAATATAAAATTATATCTAATGAAAAAAAAACCCTATTAGAAATAAGTACCACTAACGTTCCTTAAAATAGCAATGACATTGCAGCCAAGGTTAAAATCTAACAATTCAGTGAGAAGAGTTCTTTATTCTGTGGTAGTTGGACAAATGTTATACACGCTCCACTTTACAGCGAGAAGAGTTAATCCATTTCATAATGGGCCCACCTACACATGTTATTTATGAGTTTTGTTTTAGTGGACCAGGCACACATAGTCTCATTCCAAAAGTAAAAAAGAAAAAGGAGTGAAAAGAAATTTTGAAAGAAGTGAAAGACAAAAAAAAGAAACTTATTTTTTCAAAAATAGCAAAAGGACCACCGTAAGAAAATAGGCTCGGATCATTTTAAAAAATTCCGTTATTTATGAACAAATAACTCCTCTTTTTTGCTGAAAAGGCTTTATTAGAATGCTGAATCCTGCGTCCTTTTTCCTGAATTCTTGCGTCGGATGTCACATGGAACTTATTTGCAAAATGCTATATTAAATTTGCAAAATGCTCCTTAGACAAAAGGTTATTATGTGAAATACTATATGCAAGTAAATCCCTCAAATCTTCAATGATATTCCTGAATTAAAACGGTGATAAATTCATTCAAAAAATATAAATCTTCTTTAATTTTTTTTTTAAAATTTTGCATCAATGGCCATCATTTCCCATTCGAGGAAAGTCCAACTTTCACGGTCGTAGCAAGAGCCGGGGTCGTGACAAGTCCAGAGATCAGTCTAGGTTGAAGTACGAATTGATTTGCTTCTATTGTGGGAAGACGGGCTATAAAAAGTCCGACTTCCAGAAATTAAAGAAAGATTAAAGAGCGGCAATGTGAAGCCGGATCAAATCGAGCATAAGAAGAAAGAAGACAAAAGCACAACTGTAGTGACTGCCAACACTGATGTCGTTGTGTTCCTCCTTGGTAAAGATAATTTATTGAATGTTGCTTACGATGACTATGCCTATATTATTTACTCTGGTGCCTCCTTCCATGTTACTCCACACAAAGGTTTCTTTTCTTCTTACAGAAGTTGTGACTTTAGAGTTGTGAAAATGGAAAATCAAATTACAAGCAAGATTGTTGGAGTCGGTGATGTAGCCCTGACCACAAACGTTGGATGTCAACTCATGTTGAAAGAAGTAAGGCATGTGCTAGACATGCGTTTGAACCTAATCTCGGTAGATAAACTTGATGATGTTGGGTTAGTGAATTATTTTGGAGGCGGAAGATGAAAATTGGCCAAGGGAAACTTGGTGGTTGCCCAAGGCAAGAAAGAGGGCTCTTTGTACATGATGCAAGAAAAAATAAATGGTGGTGTTATGGAATATTTCCATATCCTAACCACCTACCCAAGGATTCCTTAAAGGATAACTACCCAATTATCCTAACAATATAAAACAGTAAGGCTGCTAAGGATAGAGTCCCTATCCCAACAGAAAGGAAGTTAAATCCTACTACAACTGGAAGATCTACACAAGCCCAAGAGGTAACCCTTATAAATAAGAGGTTAAAGACCCCAGGTACATACCTCTGAACTCATTTACTACTTCTGCCCACACTGTGAACACACCCACGTCTCGGCTATAAGCCAACCAAGTTACCTATCCATAGGATATCTCTGAGCGCATACCCTTGAGGTATCATTATACGATTTAATAGAACCGAACAGGTGGAGAAGCCAACTCAGTCCGGGATGGACCTATTACGGAATTGTGGCACAAGCACCACAACTACACGAGTTAGAAAAGAATTCAAATTTTGAACAAGAAAGAACTTCTGACTGGATTAAAGGGCCAAGTGTTGGAAAATTGTATGCACTACCTAGTTGGAAAGAGTACCGAGTTTCTTTTGTGAGACCGAATCAGCCCAGGAGACGCATGTATGTTCTTGACCTCGTCCACACTGATATTTGCTCCATGAAGGAGAAATTACTTGGTGGACCTCAATACTTTGTTTCTTTTATTGATAACCATTCTCGCAAAGTGTGAGTGTATTTGTTTAAATCTAAAGACCAGGTACTCAAAGTCTTTAAAGAATTTCATGCTATGGGAAAGGTTATACTTACAACCTTTTTTTTTACAACCATATCTTAACACCGTTGATTTCCGCCAATCAACGGTTATGATTTTTATAAATTAAAATCATTAATTAATTATTAATTCCCAATTATTGTTTCTTAAGTTAGTTGAGATAACTTTATCTCCAGTTATTAAATCATAATCGTACAAAGACTGATCAATGACGATAAAAGAAGAGAGAGAAAAAGAGAATCATAACTATTCAAAAGTGAATCAGTTAATATAAGAAAATAAATAAACTAAACGACGTAATTTTGAGGTGATAGGTGATAATATCTCAAGCAGCTTAAGAAATATTTTTCTCGTATAAATATATAAAATTTATATGGGATCATATGTAGAGAAGAGAGAAAAATAAATATGGGCCTGTGTATTTAAGAGATAAAATTATTTTTTATAATATGAAAAATATTAATCCTATCTTTTAAAAATCAAGATATAAAACACTACATAATTACTTTTGTTCTAGTCTTACTCATATTTATTAATTTTTGTTTTTCTTCTTTAAAAAAGACAACGTTAACGAAAAGAAAAAATCAGAAAAGATAATCATCATAGGTGACATCATGAAACTAGATCATCAAGCAAATTCATAGAACGACGAACACAAGAAGGAAATTATAAGAGAGAGACAGAGTGTGTGTGTTTTGTAACAACAATATATCATGTCGTACAATCCCAAGTTCAAGAAAATGATAATTACTCTTGAATTTTACGGTTGACGTGAAAAATGTGATTTTGTGAAGGAATTAATATTTTTCATATTATGGAACATAATTTTATTTTTTATACACGCATAAAAATATGTAAATTTTATATGAGATTATATTAAGAAAAGAGAGATAAATAAAATATGGTTCCACATATTTATATTTTTATGTAGAAGATAAAATTATCTTCTATAACATAAAAAATACTAATTATTTTTATAAATTATGAAAATAAATAATAATAGAAAATAGTAATTGAAATGAAAATCATATTTCAATTACATAATTTACTTCTATTAAAATTAAAATAACATCAATCACAAAACTAAGTAACTTAACCAGTGATTATAAGTTGGATCGGATCCATTTCATATATTTCCCTCCAGGAAAACTGTATATCATTTTTAAAGAAGGGAAATAATATATTTATCAACAAAAAAATTTATCACTCTTACAACCAATTTAATCATCGTTGATTTTCGTCAATCTAATGATTATAATTTATTGAAAATTAATAATATTTATTGAGTCATACTTATTAATTAATTATTAATTTTCAATAAATCATAACTGTTAGATTAGGTAAAATCAACAGTGATTAAATTAGTTATAAGAATGGTAAAAAAAAATTGTGGTAAGTATACTGTAAAAAATACAAATTTAGATCCTTTTAAAATAGAGATAGACACAAAAAAAGATGGGATTTTTTGTTTTGTTTTGTTTTTGTTTTTTTGTTTTTAATGAAACCTACATCTCTTTATATCTATCTCTCTTCTAAAATAGCTTATATTTATGTTTTTTAAAATGATACAGATCTTTCCTTTCCACTAACAAGTTACAAACACATGAATCTGTTCATTGTAGAATTAAATGCATAATGACTTTTCGTTCGCTAACGAGGCAGAAATTTTAAGCAGCGGGGACAAAATTGAACACAATCATAAAACATAAGTAATTTCTTAGAAGTATTTTTATATTTAGGGAAAAACAAAACCAATGACGATTAAAGAATAATATTTAAGAGAAAGGGATAAAAAAAATAAAATTATTAATAAGGGCCATTTTAATTTTAATCGGAAATACAACCATAAATTTTTTCTCATATTTAAAATTATCTTGATTGTGAATAACTATTATCTTTGATTGATCAATCGTAGTCACTTGATGACTATTATGTAAATATTTTTTAGTATTTAGTGGTTTAGGATGTCATATTTGTTGTCAACAATTATTACTCATTATTGATTTGTCAAATAGTTAGTAGGCAACCATCAGTTAAATGGTTACTTATATTTTACTTCAAACAAGATAATTAGAATTGGTATAAAAAAAAAAAGTTATTTGAATGGCCGTTACTTATTATTTGAATGAGTATTAATTATTTATTGCAAAATAGTTAGTTATTATTAATTGCATTTTCGCTCTTTTATTTAAATACACATTCGTCCCCATGTACTAAAAAAATATAGGTGATCTTTTTATAATAACTTGAATCTTTATATTATTTAAAATTAAATATGTTATTAGCTATCTTTGAGATTATTTTTCCCATTAAATTAGGAAGGGACTATAAAAAAAAAAAAACAGAAACTGGATTTTGAGAAGGATTCTCTTTTTGTCGTTCTAATATGCTTTAGAATTTTTTTTTTTAAACAATATGCTTTAGATTTGATCGGTGCACGTTAGGTACATAATGCTTTTTCAACGAGTTATGGCATACTTTTTAGAAATGCTAGTCACCACTACCACAGTTTAAAATATATGTTATTTAAAAAAAACCATTGAGCGATGAGTGAGAGAGAGAAAGGTGATCATGGGAAGAATCCTGGCAAATCAAGTGAAGAACTTGACATTCTTCAAAGAAGTAATAAGAGGAATAAAGGTGAGGGAGATCAGTTTTCAAATGATGTATCTATGATACCTAGACATGAAGGTTGGATGGAAGATGAGAATGGCCAACGTTCAACCTGGAGGGAAATTCTGATGCGTCATAATGGAGAAGATGATGAATGGGAAGGAGAGGCGTCTGCCGAGGAAGACTTAGATGGGGAGGAACCTGCTGAGGAAGAGGATGTCAACCATGGAGGAATTAAGATGTGGGAGGAAGATGATGGGCGTACTTATTTTAGTTGCACCAAAAGAGCAAGGAAGAGAATGAGGAAACCTTGGGAGAAAGCTCTGATTGTTAAACTCCTTGGGAAGAAAATTGGGGTGGAGTTTATGAAGAAAAAAATAAATGTCTTATGGGCTAGAAAAGGCAAAATCAATGTCACTGATATTGGTAATGACTTTTTCGTAGTCCAGTTTAGTGAGAAGGATGATCTCAATTTTGCGTTGAACGGTGGTCCATGGATTGTTTTGGGTCATTATTTATCGTTGAGGAAGTGGGAACCAACTTTCAGACCTAATAGTGCTGGAATTGCTAAGATTGCTGCTTGGATTCGTCTACCGGATATTCCCATTGAATTCTATGATGAAGCTTTTTTTAGAAGGATTGGAAACTGGTTAGGCAAGATGATCAAGGTAGACAGCAATACAAATGCTCATGTAAGAGGACGGTTTGCAAGAATATGTGTGGAACTGGACCTATCTCAGCCATTAAAGGGTGATTATGTGCTGGAAGGATTTACCAAACAAATTGAGTATGAAGGATTAGGGCTCATTTGTTTTGGTTGTGGGAAATATGGACATAGCACCGAGAATTGTTCAGCTGCTCCAAAGCAACGCAGTTCATCCGATATTCATAATGACGATCAAATTCATCAAGAGGAACCTGGCAACTCAGAATTCCATCGAAGTAAAGGATTGGGACCTTGGATGGTTGTTAATCGTCAACGCAGGAGCCGGCAACCTCCTCAGACGGCCGGTGCAGTCCAGCCAGGCGCTGGTTCAAAAAAGTTACAAAGGAATAATGATAAGGGAGTTATGACCAGCGATAATCATGGAGATAATCATGGTGATAAGAGAGTTATGACCAGCGATAATCATGGTAATCATGGTAATAAGGGAGTTATGACCAGCGGTAATCATGGTAATAAGGGAGTTATGACCAGCGATAATCATGGAGATAATCATGGTGATAAGGAGGAAATTACGCAATCACGGTTTGCAATCTTAACAGCTGGACCTATTAATGAGGAGGATCATAATCAAATAATTAATTCTGTTACTCCTCATATGGGAGACCCTCAGTTTGAAATTCCTCAGAAAATATGGACTAAATCCAAAAAGTCCAAAGATACCCCTAGGACTAAATCAACGGTTCCTACTATGCATGCGGCTCATTCTTCAAGCACGGGTAAGAGGTGTCCAGTCCAGAGTGAAAATCGTGAAGATCATACTCCCATTCCACCATCTCCATCAATTGCTACTCCCATGGCGGTTAGTCCTATGCAAGCAAATCAACATGATCAGGAAAATGGGATGAAAGCAGATAGCACTTTGAACCAGAATCAAGAGCAGTTATATGACACATTTCATAAAACTGGTCCTGATATATCAGTTGACAACAGCAGCGACATCCAAAATCCTGAAACCTCAACCATCTCTACGTGCATGGAGGTGGACAGAGTTCACCAGGAAGATATTTCAAGAATGAAGGATGCAAGAACCTTGGAGTCTTGCGTTCAACATAGTTTTTAATGAACTTATTCTTCTGGAACTGTAGGGGAGCAGTGAAACCCCAGTTTCAAAATTCGCTTTTTCTGTTTACTAGGAAATATAAGCCTAGTATTGTAGTGATTCTAGAACCTCGGTGTAGTGGTCAAAAAGCTTCTGACATTATCCGAAAATCTGGGTTTAAGCATGCTTTTGTTCAAGAGGCAGAAGGTTACTCAGGGGGTATTTGGATCCTCTGGAATGATGAGACTGGTCTCGTTGAAATTGTTAATCACACAAAACAGTTTGTTCATTTTAAAGTTCAGAATTTTCATGTTCCTTCCTTTTCTTGCACGGCAGTTTATGTGAGTCCTAGGGAAGAAAATAGAAAGGAGCTATGGGATGATCTGCTAAACATTAGTCTCCATTGTAATGGGCCGTGGTTGGTGGCTGGGGATTTTAATGAAATAGCAAATCGGGATGAGAAGAAAGGTGGCTGTAGAGTTAACTTAAACAGATGTTCCAATTTTGCAAATGTTCTTCATAATTGCAAGCTGCTGGATCTTGGAGGATCAGGTCCTTGGTTTACATGGAAGGGTCCGAAGTTTCTTCATCTTGATCGTGTTTTTAAGAGGCTGGACCGAGCCTGTGCTAATGCAAGTTGGAAGACTACCTTTACTGATGCTGGCGTTAAGGTACTTCCACAGATTTATTCTGATCATAGTCCCATTTTGGTCTACTTGTCTAACTTGGACACAGGTTGGAAAAATCGTCCCTTTCGCTTTGAGATTGCTTGGATGGAGCATTATAACTTTACTCAGTTTCTGGCTAGGAGCTGGAATGTTGTGAAAGACACTAGAACGAATCTGCATGATCTGACTCCAAATTTAAAAAGATGGAACAAGATAGTCTTTGGCAACATTTTCAATAGGAAGACTAACCTATTGCAAAGTATTGCAGAAATTCAGAATCATGTTGATTATCATACCAACTTATCTCTCCAATCTAGAGAAAAGGAGGTTAGGAAGGACCTTGATGCGGTTCTCATACAAGAAGAGATCTTATGGTTTCAAAAAGCCAGGGTGAAATGGATAAATGATGGGGATAGAAACACCAAATTCTATCACATTAAAACAGCTACTCAAAGAAGTTCGAATAGGATTCTTGAGTTAAAAAATTCTGATGGGATTTGGGTGAAGGAAGCTAGACAACTTCATCAATTGGTAACAGATTTCTATAGCAACTTGTTTAGTGAGGAAGTCCTTAATCGTGATTGGGTGAAATCAAAGACTACTTGGCCCCTTCTGCACGATGATCTGCTATCTAATCTGACTCGTAATCTTTCGGATGACGAAATTTCAAAAGCTGTTTTTAGTATCAATGGGTCAAAAGCTCCAGGGGAAGATGGTTTTCCAGCTGCCTTTTTTCATAAGAATTGGAGTCTTATTAAGACTAATGTTATTAAGGATGTTAACATGATGTTTCAGAATCCCAATCTGATTCACCTTGTGAACTTGACTCTTCTGGTCCTCATTCCAAAAGTAAAGAGACCTAAAAGTGCTAAGCAGCTCAGACCAATCTCTTTGTGCAATGTCATTTATAAAATCCTCAGTAAAATTCTGGTTAACAGAATGAAGCCCCTAATGGAAGAGATGGTGTCTCCCTTCCAAGCTAGTTTTGTTCCTAAACGACATATCCAGGACAACATCATCATCACCCAAGAGCTGATCCATTCAATGCGTAGAATGAGAGGAAGAAAATGTTTCATGGCAATTAAAATCGACTTGGAAAAGGCTTATGATATGTTAAATTGGGAGTTTGTTCGTAAAATTTTGGATGAAATTCAAATCCCACACTGGTTCACAAATATTATCATGAATTGTATCAACTCTGATAAGGTCTCAGTGCTTTGGAATGGAGCCATTGCAGGTGACTTCCTTCCTTCAAGAGGAGTTCGTCAGGGTGATCCTTTATCTCCCTACATTTTGTTCTAGCCATGGAAAAATTGTCTCATCTCATTCAAGATGCGGTTGACAATAAGAGATGGAAGCCAATCTCCGTGGAATCAAAAGGTCCTAAGATAGCCCATCTGATGTTTGCTGATGATTTGATGTTGTTTGCATAAGCTTCTCTAGATCAAATCAAAGTTATAGTGGATTGCTTGGAGACTTTTAGTTCAATGTCTGGCCTAAAGGTTAGTATTCCGAAATCTAGTATTTTTTTCTCGAAAAATACATATGCTCACATTGCAGATGATATCACAAATGTGTGTGGCTTCAAGCAAACTCACAATATAGGGAGATATCTTGGGTCCATGATGAAACATGGTCGAGTAACCAAAGACCATTATGTTGATGTTGTTGCAAGAATTAGGCACAAGTTATCTGGTTGGAGTAACCAGGTCTTATCTTTTGCCGGTCGAATTACACTTTCCAACTCCGTTATTTCAGCAACTCCTATATTTCAAATGCAACACAGTCTGCTTCCTGTAGCCATTTGTGATGAAATAGAGAAGTTGCAACGTGCCTTTATTTGGGGTGATAAAAATGGTCAAAGGAGATCTCATCTGGTTGCATGGGATAATATTTGCAAGCCTAAGAGCATGGGTGGCTTAGGGGTGATTAACCTTCGTGTCCAAAATATGGCTTTCTTTCACAAGCTTGCATGGACGATACTTACTTCGCCCGATTCGTTGTGGGTTCGAGTTGTAACAAGTAAATATAAGAGAGGTTTGGATCTTCGGAGGGAAGTAAATCATAAAGCATATGACTCATACTTCTGGAAAAATCTGTGTAGTGTTTGGCCATCTTTTCTTCAAGCAATGCAATGGGAGATTGGAGACGGTAATGATGCATTATTTTGGACAGACAATTGGTTGGGTTTAACTGAGTGTCTTGCCTCTCTGGCTACTCGTACTCCAACTGGTTTGGAGTTGAATCTCCCTGTTAGTGCCTTCGTGAACAGCAATACTGGTCAATGGAACTTTCCCTATATTCGTCAATATCTCAATGATCAAGCTGTTGCAAGGATCAAAACTGCTCTCATTCCTAGCGCATCGGATGGAAATGACCACATTATTTGGAGAAATCAAAAGGTTGGCTGCTCTTTAGTTAAAATCGCGTATTATAACATGCTTGGTTTCCCTCTCATGCCGTTGAAAAATTCTTGGACTACCATATGGAAATGGCATGGGCCTCAACGTGTTAAATCTTGTATGTGGATCATAATGCATGGCCGCCTTCTTACTAAAGACCGCACATCTAGATGGAGTGGGGAATCTGGTCATTGTAAAATGTGTCCTGGTGAGTTGGAAACAAATCTCCATGCTCTAAGAGATTGTAAGCATGCTAGAAGTGTTTGGAATTCTATGGTTTCAGCTAATCGGCAAAGCTTATTCTACAGCTTGGATCTTAGAGATTGGGTTGAAAATAATATCTCAAAAGCTTGGAATCAAAGTAATTCAGATGATTGGCATGATGTCTTTTTTATCTCTTGTTGGTTCATTTGGGGATGGAGGAACAAAAGTATCCATGATACTAACTTCAAGCATCCAACCCATGGAACGCACATAATTGCTATGTATATAGAGGAAGTTCGTAACTGCATGGGTAGGAAGGCTATGGCTACTACTAGCATTCATCCAACTCGTATGAGTTTATGGAAACCTCCAAGGTTAAATTGGGTGAAGATTAATATTGATGGGGAAGTTGAAAGGAATACTGAGGTGGCTGCTTGTGGTGGGATTATCAGATCTGATGATGGCTCTTGGTTGGGAGGCTTTGAGTATCATATTGGTGCTTGCACTCCTTTAATGGCGGAGCTTTGGGGAACTCTAAAAGGTCTGGAATTGGTTTGGCAACTGGGATTTAAGAAGGTGGAACTAGAAGGAGATGCTTCTGAAGTATTCTCTTTGCTTGCTGATTGCAATGCAGCTTGTCAGCCTCGTATAGTGGCTAAGATACAAGCACTCATCGGTCAGGATTGGGAGGTAACGCATTATATTCTGGATGAATCACATGTGGTGATACCAGATGATATTGAAATTCGGGAGAATTTAAAGACTCCCGTAGGTCCTATTGATGTTCTCGACCGCAGTGAAAAGAAGCTTAGAAGCAAAGTTATTCCAATGTTAAAGATTCAGTGGGAAGGACATACACCTGAGGAGGCTACTTGGGAACTGGAGGATGAGATTCTCCGGCTGTATTCTGAGTTAGCGAACATGTATGAGTTAATTTGCGGACAAAATTCTAAAAGGAGGGGTGAATATAGCACCTCTCAATTCTAAATTAAGTATTAAAATATTAAATGAGTAATTAAGTGAAGGATTAGTGAAAATCCTGAAGATTAGGCCAAAATACAAAGAAAGGGCAAAATGGTAATTAGCCAACACGCAACCCTAGAAAGATAAAAATTGAGTACGAGGTCTCAGATGGTAAAAATAATCTTGGAAATGGATTCAGAACGAAAAATTGAGTGGTTAGGCAAGTCTCAGAAAATTCAGTGAATAGTGTTTTTACCGGGTCGAAATACCACGGTACGATTGCACCGTAAAAAGTGTCGAGTGAGTTTTGAGCTCTAGGTTTGAAAATAAGTTATAAAAGATTCATAGAGCTAGGAAATATAATTTCTGATGAAATTTCATGGAAATAAGTTAGTTTGGGGAAGCGTGCCAACGGCGCGCGCAACAACTTAAAACAACATTTTTCCCGAACGACCAGAAAACTCCGGATTCATCTGATCAAGTATAATTAAAAGACAATGGTTAATGTTAAAAATTAGAGTTTCTAAATAGGTTTTGAATTTGTGGACGTTTAGTGGGATCGGTGGGAAATTCGGATTAGTTTTAAATCGCGTGAGGTGGTAGTGGGACCCACCTCACTTAAAATCACTTAAGCCACCTAAGCTCCATTATTAATCATCTCTCCATCCCCTTCCTTTTGCTGAAACCGTAACAGCCCTCCCCCTCCCCTTCCATTTTCATTTTTTTTATTTGACCATAACTTCACCAATACTTAACCAAATCAAGCGATTTTTGTGTTAATTTTGTTGGAAATCACCTTCCAAACACATTGGTGGTACCCATTAGCCTTGAAATCCTCTCAATTGTGAGACAAAGTGAGATTCCAGCCACGAATTTTGGGAGAAAGTTGGAGTTTTTGTGGTTGTTTCTCAAGCTTTCTTTAGGGATCAATTGGTGGAGCCTTGGTGACTTATTTGTGGGTAAGTTTCAAGACTTTTGATGGTTTAATTGTTGGATTGATTTCATGAACCCTAAAGGGGGATTTGGTGATTTGTGTTGTTAGAGAGCTCTAATGCAAAATGTGTATTAGATGATAATGTCTTAGAATGATGTGTTAGAGCTAGAAATGCAATGAAAATTATTGGTGAAAAATATGGTTTCATAACTTAGAAAATTTTGAGGTTGTCATGACATTGAGTTTTGAAAATGTGTAGAATTCGATTGGTGAGTTGTTGTATGATTATATGTTGATATAATGGGATTGTATGAGGTGTGGGGTGGTTAAAATTGAGTGAAAATCCTTGGGAATTGCATATGTTACAATTCGGCCATTTAGGGAATTTTAGGAATTTGATTTTGTTGTTATTGCTTGGATGAGGTATCATGTGGTAAATGGTAATTAGATGGGTTGTGTGGTGGTTTGAAGGTTGGAGAATCAATGAAAAATGATTGATGGTGTTGAAAGTCATAAAGGATCCTAGAGCGAAATATTAGACAAAACGACGTTTAAAAGACGTAAAATAAAAAACGGCACTTGGTATAGCCTTTTGGCAACCTAAGGATGTATAATAAAATGAGAAAGAAAATTTAGAAAAAAAATGTGAAATAAGGCTAAGAAGGCCGAACCTACAAGGTGTAGGGGTGATTTTTGTATTTTGATCGAACTGCCATGTACTGATGATTCGTACATGGTGTGGTAGGTTGTCGTACATCGATTTGAACACCGAACCGTGAGTCGGTGGATTGCCCTTGATCCTGGACCAAGTGGGATTGAGGTAAGTGATTGGAATCATGCTATATAATTGATAATGGCATGTATTCATATGAGTTTTAAGTAATTGGGAATGTCGTCTGTGTAGGCATTCTGTTGAGTAGCGAGCTCGGAGAGTATATTCTGTGGAGCTAAGTGAAGAGGCTCATTGAGGTAACCTCTTGGTACTGGAGCTTGTTCCCCTTGTGTGTTCCACCATACCCGTTGAGGGTGATGGTAGGAAACGTATATGAGTAGTGTAGAATAACATGATCATGCATGTAGATGTATGTTGGTACATTGGTACTGAGTCTCTGGCCAGTAGACAGTTTTTGCCTTCGGGCGTTTCAGACTTCCACTAGATAGGTCTCCGAGAGGGAGTTCCAGTTGACCCAAGGTCGTAGTGTGTGATATGGATAGGAGCACACTAGGAAGTCTCGGGTGTATGCGGATGGGAGGTGTACCTTGGTTAGTTGTTCTTGGAACACGCCTTGGATGAGACTCATAGGCTTATATGCCGAGGACGTTGCGTGGTATTAGTAGCTTCCATTCCCGCTTCGTCGTATTTTGTATTCCTATATTCCCCAGTTTCTATAAATCCCTTGCTTTATCCTGTTTTGAAAAGTGATTATTTTATATTATTTATATGCATCGAAGTGAGCCATTGGGCGGAGTTTTCTCCAGAACGTCTGAGTTACTGATATATATTCGTATATCTCACCCCGTCTTGGGGGCTTTATTTCAGGAGGTAGCAGTGGCACGGGAGCGGCCAGCAAGAAGCCCGTAGGATGAGTCATTGGAGGACTTGCACTTTTGCATTTTGATGGCCATTTGGTCTAGGCTAGACTTAGGGCATGAACATCCCATATGTATGTAGGATGAGTTTCATAGTCATATTTGTTCATGTCATTTTGCTTAAGTCTAGTTGTATATGTCTTTTAAGCTTTATGTTTCAAGTTGTAATTAAAGTTATGAAGTTATAAGTTTTAATATGTAAGTGAAATGTTGTAATTGTGCAATGGATACATGATGTAATATGATGGAAGGGCTTTAGGCCTATTTTAGGATTATAATTTTTTGTATGTTGAGAAATTGCATGTAAATGGACATTGGTGATTGAAACAAGTTAAGGATTTATAAAGTGAGCCATATGGTATAAATTGTGTAATAACTATAAACTGAGTTGGGTTGTAAGTGCCACAAGGAATTTTTGGTCCTTGTGTGTGCCACCCATTCGTTATTAGGTACATTTGAGGTATTAGAAAGCAATTACAAATTTGGGGATTTTAGGGAAAACAAAGGAAACTCTGGCGAATTTTCTGTAGAATTGGCAGAATTTAGACGAACTTCGGGAGAGCATATCTCCCTCCACAAAGGTCCGATAGGGACATGCCATACTCCATTTTAAAGCTTGAGATGTCCCCTACATTGTTTTAAAATCTGAGTAATTTCTGGGTTGCACGCATCGCTGTAAAAACCTGTGAACACAGACTGTCCAGAACGCACCTATGCAGGGGCTGTTTCTGGCAGTTTTGGGAAATTAATTCCCGCTTCATTTCTTGATCAAACTAAGTGTATGATATATCTAATTGAAGCTTGAGGTGTCTAGTTTGTTTTATAAAAATTTGAGAGCAATTGGTAGAGTGGATGTTCTGCAGTAATTCGTGGAGTGAAGGATGTTTGGAGCTATTTTGGGGTTGGTTGGCAGTTTTGCATGTCCAACTTCAAACGGCGATATCCAGAGCAAACGAGATCGAAATGACTAGTGTGATGGCTCATTGGAAAGGTATTTAAGTAAGAAAAAAAATAGCTAAAGATGAAGGGCTGGTTTTGGGCAGTGAGCCCGCAGAAAAATAATAATCGAACCATGTTCGGATGGGTGGAGAACGTAAAATCGAGAAATTAGCTAAGTGGATTTATGGGAACCCTTTAGTGTCTTGTATTGAGTAAAACAAGATATAAAAATAGTTTAAACAAGTATTCCGCAAGAGTTTACAGTTATGGTCACAGCTTTAATTATTACGCTTTTTATTATTTTAAATACTCGCGTAATAAATGAAAAAGTTTGTTCGCATTTTTATAAATGAATTGTTGTGATTGTAACTGCGCTTAATATCATAATTAATGTTAACAATACTGGTTTACAATGGGCAGTTACACCGTGGACATCTAAATTGAAATAAGCTGAAGCAAAACAGATAAAAAGAGAGAAGAAGAACAAAAGAGTGGAGAGATGTGAGGAATAAAAAACTATTCTTCTAGCACACATGTTGTCGTATGGTATTTTTTTTTCTTCACCTACTCTTTTGGTTGGTGGAGAAATGGGAGAAGATGGATTTTGGCCAGTGGAGAAATTTTAGGAACAGATATCAGTGTGATCTCTTGGCTGGAATGAGGACTCACACGTGAAGGAATAGAAGAGAGAAGATCTTGGAAGACATAGAAACAATAATATTTTGAGGAGATTTGTGAAAGAGTGATAATGCGTGAAAATAAGACTGCGAAAAAGGAGCATAAGAGAGAGTAGAGGGAAGAAACATAAATTCACTATGATACTATTGACTCAAGATCCATGAAATTTGGCTGAAGACTCGCTCTCGAAGCAAAACCCAACATCAAAAGCTTAACTGAGTAGGTTAAAATATATTGTCGTTTATGTTTGGCTTTTAATTTACTATTATAAGCAAATGCATACTGACATCCCACGCTTCATGTAATATATTATAAACAATATAGGTTACTTTTTCTGAAAAGGTAATAGCTGATCATCTGTAACGCCCCGTCTGCAGCCGGTTAATTAACATTCATATGATAGTAAGCGCAGCATGCTCAACTTAATTAATGTGGAAGCTAACTGAATAATTTTTCTCTTTTTCCTTATATATTGTAAATTTTTTCACTTCCATGGCTAAAATAAAATGGACATCATTTTCCCTATATTTTAGACCACTGGGGATAATTTCCACTATGATAATTTCAACCTGATTGACAGTTTAATATAACTCAGGCATACCATAGCATAGATAAAACATATTGCCCAGCCATCTATGGCCTAAGCTATCTAAATATCATACTATCTCAAAATAATGTCCATGATGTTACTTAAATAATTACATCAAATAAACAAAAAAGATGCAATTAAATAAGTAACATAGACCTGAGCATGCATCACTAACAGCATATACAGATTATCAACTTGGCATAGACATCTCCTATGCACTCAAAAAATACATGGCATATACAACCCAAAATAAAGTATGTCAGGTACAAATCTAAATATCTGTAAGGCCCTGACAATCATGTCAAGCAGTATCTCTCATCTGACCTATGTAGCACCGATATCGACACGAGACACGTGACACGATATGACACGACACTCTGACACGTTAATTCAAAAAAATGTTAGATTTCGACACGTTTTGATATTAAATAATATTTTTAATTTATGTAATGTGTATTATATTTAATATTCAATAATTTAACAAAAAATGAAACTAAACTTATAATATTCTTTAATTTTGCAAAGAAACATAAGATATTCCAAATATTTATATTAAACTCAATAAAATGATAATCGTAATCTAATAGTTGGAACTAAAAACTCAATGCAACGCAACCTTTGAACCTTTTTTGAATTTCTATAATGCGTATTGGAGTATCGGGGAGTGTCGGACACGACACGTCAAAGTTTTTGAAGTGTCAGTGCTGCATAGCATCTGACCTCTTGCCATGCGATGCTTCAGCACCATCAGCTCTTGTACCTGAAATGATGATCCCCATAATGCGGGGTGAGATAATATAATTACCTCAGTAAGCTAGGGACCCTTGGAGGGCTCCTCCACCCCCTAAGCTCACTTCTGGTATAAACACAGTATAAAAAAATCCATGCATGCATCAGAATATGTCTGACAATGCAGTGTACAATAATATAATTCTACTGGCCAGAGAATATAACAAGTATGCATTACATAAGGAAACACCGTCTTGCAACATACTGTATGAGGAAACATTATCTCATACTACGCATAAGGAAACACCGTCTTATGCCTCACACAAGGAAACACCGTCTTGTGTGGCACACAAACATACATATATATACATGCAACATATACCAATTTATATTCACATACCATATCAAACTATCACCCACCACGGAGATTGGTGGAACAAACGGGGGGATTAACCCCAAGGACCGAAAGCTTACCTGGCAAGCAGTGTCCTCCACTAATTCTCGTGTCCACAGCGTCAAGATCTCTCACAAAGTCACAACCTAATTCCAAGACGTGAAGATAATCAGTATTCTTATATACCAGTCTACCACATTTAATTTTCAAGACTACACATACAAGCACTTGATTTTTAGTCCAATTTATCAAAGTGTCCTAAATGGCGATTTCATAATTTTTCCTTTTACGTGAACCAATCCTAGCTCAAGTTATCAAAGATTGAAGAAAAAAAAGAAAAAAAGAAAGTCGTCCTGTCGTCTGGCTCGTCGCGTGAAGGAAGAAGAAGAATACGAAGGTTTTTATATATTTCACGGTTAAGGAAATTCAACTGGGTAAGGGCTTATCCATCCTGCTCACTAAAGTCTCATTCAAACGTTGCACACTAGTCCAGAATATTTTTATGGTAATATTTATAATTTTACTTTTCACTTTAGGGTAACTTTATTTACCCGCATTTTTACCTCTTAACTGTCATTTTAACTCTCTTTTTTACCAAAGGTGACTTTATTTTTTTTCTTCTACTTTCCTTATAATTATTCCTCAATAACATGATTAAAATTATTAAATCTATACTACATGTGAGGGTTATTATATCATCTGTCTTCATGTATATATTTTGTATAACTAAAGTCTTTGTAAATTAATAATATAATATAAGTTACGTATTATATTTCATGTTACAGTTTGTTTTGTTTATTATATATGTTATTGTTTGTTTTATTTATATATATACGTTACTATTTGTAGGTTTGTATATATATATATATATATATATATATATATATATATATATGTGTTATTTACGTTATATGTATGTATATATATTGAAACAGTAAATGATTTTTTTTATAATCTAGAGTATAATTATTTTATTTTCATAAAATATATACATACAAAATACAAAAGATTTCTTTGAATTATTTTATTATTTTAAAATTTAGATTCATTGTTAAAAAATACTTATGTTGTGTATATTTTGCCTTTGGGTCATTATCATGATAAAATAAAATATAAAATAAAGCAATCTTCTTCCAAGAAAGGGTAAAATAAATTTTCACAACCAATCTAAGGTAATCATTTTTTTAAAATAGACAGCGTGGGATGCTAACACCTTCCCTACATGTAACCGATTCTCGAACCTTGCTCAATTTTAAAGACCAATTCACAAAGATAAAAGGTTTTTCCAGTTTTCCTAATAAAAAATTTGGTGGTGGCTCTATTTTCAAAGTCGGTCCTTACAAACATGACAATTATATTCAATCTTGATGATCCACCAATCAACCATAACCAAATTCATACTTAATCAGTTAGCAAAAGCTTCTATATTTTTATTTGTATATAACCAAAAAAGAAAGATAGATAACAATCTTTAGATACTTGGGCACCAGATATCATCCATACAATTCAATTTCCAAAAGATAGTCATATGGCTTGAACAACGAATAAATCAAACAAGATACTTACACAAATAGCTCTAGCTTCTTCATTTATGTAAGTTCCATCACTCTTTTTATGAGCATTGGTATATAAACTACCCCTACTCACTCATTGTCCAGTTTTATTCATCTATTGCATTGAAAATGTTTTCAAATGTCAACAACACAAAATAGTATAAAACAAGTGGAACGACAATTGTTATAACATGATTTTAAATACTCACTATCCCCACACTCCTTTCTCGAGGCTATTTGTATAATAACCCTAATTACATAACTTTTAAATTAGAGTGTTATGATGAGGACCTTATGGTCATAAATGGAATGACGATGAAATTCTAAGAATTTTGATATCCATATTAAGGGTATTTTACACAGGTGAATTTTCATCAGTTAATTTTGGCTGTTGACGCAGTAACAGTCAATAGAATAGTTCCAAGTTAGCAAATTATGGTTAGAGAGCTATTTCAATTATATGATTATCATAGATGAGGTTAGCATATGATTTGATGAAGTTTGATACCCATATTATGGTATTTTGGAAAAGTCACTTCTGCCGGATATTTTGTACTGCTGTAGAAGCAGCCGGTAGAATCTTGGAATGGGAAAAAGATGAGAAAATGGAAAGAAAGACCAATATATGCCTAACAAGTCATAATTAGACCAATAATGTTAAAGTTAAGAAGATTATGAAATCCGGGTACAGTTAAGAACACTGATAAAGACTACAGTGCAATTAAATAGCTGTTAGTGGATCTGTGATCGACTAATCAAATTTTTAAGTTATGAACATGATAATTAGACAAAATTAATATTAATTACTTAAAGTTAGAGTCTTGGGTGTTTCCAGGTAAAAATTTGATAACGATTAAGATAAAAATTACACCGGGTTTCACTAGAGGATAAAGTGCCACTAAAGTGACATGGCGACCCTAATTTGGGCACCTCCCCCCCCCCCCTTGGGCTTCAGATTTCAGCCGCCCCATCCCCCTCTCTCTAAAATTCAAAGTTCCAACTTTGCTCTCACTTCTCTCTAGAATCTCTCCTCCTAAACCTCACTAAATCACCAAACTTCTTTCACAAAACTTGTTCCCCTCACTCTCCTCTTCACAACCATACAATTTTTATGGTCTGAAGCAAATTTTCGTGTTCTTCCTCCCCAAGTCCAGCCACGGTTTTGAAGCTTCATGAAGCCATGATGTTGTGTTCTTGAGTCCTCTTGAAGAACACCACTTGTGTGCTTGGTTCTCTTGAGTTTTGGTGTAAGTTTCCTAAATTTTTATTGAAAAATCTCATCTTTCTTTCTTGTGTTCTTGAGCTCTAACTCTTGAGCATATTTTTGAAGGTGTATTCTTGTTTAAAGGAGCATTCTTGTTGGAGAAAGTGAAGCTTGGATGTAAAAGTGTGAGCTTGGAGAAGTAAGCATCATTTTGGGAAAAGATGACCCAAAAATCCTTCCTCTCCTCACTTTCATTCTCGGTTTTGCTTTATGGGTGGGGAAAATATTGTTGAAAATTTTAAAGAAAGGGTTCTTGATGGTTGTTCTTGAGGATTTTTGAGTTATGAACCAAGAAAATGTTGGTTTGATGTGTAAATGTGCAACCTTGGGATCCTTGTGAGAATTTCATGTAAAAAGATGAACTTGAAACCTAAAAGGACACATGAAGATTAGGCCTTTCCTTGGAAGACTAGGGTTTGATGACTGAAAAATGTTAAGAAGTTGTTAAGTGTGGAGAAATCCCAAGAGGAGCTAAGAAAGACTAACTAAGTGGGTTATCTCTAAGTGAAACCTACTAATCTTGATTAAGGATGACTAAAAATCCTAATAATCCTAACTAATCAAATCTGCCCTCTTGAGTATAGGATGGATTAGTTGTGTTAAAAATAAGAAAATCATGGATTAATGGATTAATTAAGTGTAGGGACTAATTAACTAAAAAAATTATAAAGAAACAAGCTTAAAAACTCCAAACTACACCCGTAAACATTTCGGCCATGTGTAATTAAATTAGGGTCACTATGTTAAAATTAACACTAAGACCTAATTACGACACTAATCTAGTGGTTAAGTGAGGTGGACTATGCATAATACACTTATTAAATATTAAACCCTAAAATTTGACCTAATTAGGGTTTAGGAGCACTAATCATGCAATTAGTGAACTTGAGGTACCAAGACATAGTATGACTAAGTGGGACTTCGTAATGAACCTAATTAAGGACAAACCCTAAAATTAAAGTAACCTAGGGTTTCTAACAAAACATAATTAAGGTTTGTTAATTAAACCTAATTAAGGAACTAAATGGTAACTTAAGCTTAGGATGGACTTATGGACACATGACCATGTGAATTAATGAAAGCAAATCCTAGGATATATATATATATATATATATATATATATATATATATATATATATATATATATATATATATATATATATATATATATATATATATATATATATATATATATATATATATATATATATATATATATATATATATATATATATATATATATATATATATATATATATATATATATATATATATATATATATATATATATATATATATATATATATATATATATATATATATATATATATATATATATATATATATATATATATATATATATATATATATATATATATATATATATATATATATATATATATATATATATATATATATATATATATATATATATATATATATATATATATATATATATATATATATATATATATATATATATATATATATATATATATATATATATATATATATATATATATATATATATATATATATATATATATATATATATATATATATATATATATATATATATATATATATATATATATATATATATATATATATATATATATATATATATATATATATATATATATATATATATATATATATATATATATATATATATATATATATATATATATATATATATATATATATATATATATATATATATATATATATATATATATATATATATATATATATATATATATATATATATATATATATATATATATATATATATATATATATATATATATATATATATATATATATATATATATATATATATATATATATATATATATATATATATATATATATATATATATATATATATATATATATATATATATATATATATATATATATATATATATATATATATATATATATATATATATATATATATATATATATATATATATATATATATATATATATATATATATATATATATATATATATATATATATATATATATATATATATATATATATATATATATATATATATATATATATATATATATATATATATATATATATATATATATATATATATATATATATATATATATATATATATATATATATATATATATATATATATATATATATATATATATATATATATATATATATATATATATATATATATATATATATATATATATATATATATATATATATATATATATATATATATATATATATATATATATATATATATATATATATATATATATATATATATATATATATATATATATATATAT